TTTTTCCATATCCCTAAAGAATGTTGATGGGATCTGGATTGGGATTGCATTGAATGTATAGATTGCTTTAGGTAGAAGTGACATTGCACAATGTTCAGTCTTCATATCCACAAGCATGGGATGTTCTTCCATTTATGTAGATCTCTTATGGTTTCTTGAAGTAGTTTTTTATAGTTTTCTTTGTCGAGGTCTTTTGTGTCCCTTCTACCAGGTTGTTCTTCACACATGGACATCATTTCTAGCTGTGTCTAAACCATTGTCACAATAGTTTCCTGGATCATATCTTCTCAGCTACTGATCTAAGAAAACATCTCAGGAAAGGACCGTGACTGGCCAGTATGGAGAAAATGCCCACTCCCAAACAAGTGGGACGAGAGCTTTAAGAAGGCAGCGTCCATTCCACCATGCAGTTAGAAGGGACATTTCCCAGATTAAGTTGTGAAGGGATAGGACCATTTTGGGCTGACACCTGCAAGAGGCAGTTAAGTACAGTATAGTTTTCTTTCCTTTTTATTGAGGAATGGCATTTAAACCATCATTCAATTAAAAAAAAAAATGATGGCTGATATCATTTGAATTAAGATTGACATTATCTGAAAAATAAAGAAATTCAATAATGATAATTTGTAAGTTATTCATAACTCCAGCACCCTGAAACAACGGTTTTGGCTTTTTCATATTACCTTCCATAGACACACAATTTGTATATAATTGTGATATATATCTATATCTATATCTATATCTATATATATATCCTTTCGTATTTTGCTTTTATCCTAACTATAGTGGGAAAATGTTCTGCTGCCTTCATAATTATTCATTATAATGAAAACGTAACATTCTTTTTTGTTTCTGTCTGAAATTTTGTTAAACCATTTCTTAATGTTGGACATTAAGTTTATTTCCAGATCGGAACTATTTTATGGTACATTGCAGCCAACCCTGTATGATATCATCACATCCAGGTCCGTTTATCATCTTACTCTGGCTGAAGACTCAGAGGTCACAGAAAGCTTCTGAGCACCACCCTGCTGCTTCACAGCCAATCACAGCCCAGCCCAGGGTTTTGAAAATATGCCTGACAGAACTAGCAAATTTCTGGAAATGGTTAAGTCTTTTGTCTTCTACAAAATTGATCTGCCTCTTGCCAGTAGACTTGTTCTTTCTCGGAGATCCCTGGAAGTCCACAGAGCTCCTGACAGGAGTGAGTCAGGTGCTTCTTTAGTAAAAGTTGGTAGGGTGGGAGGATCCACCTCTCTTCAGCTATTTGCAAACATCTTCATCAGTGGAATCACATCCATGAATCCTTATAGGAAAAATGCTGGTCTCTCATGGATCAAAAAGTACAGGGTACTGTATGAATGAATGTCAGAATCCATCACAGTTAGTATCATCAGCTGTGATTTCAGCATTTGACAAGTGAATGGGCAGCCAGCTCCATCGTAAGCCATACTAAGATCATCAAGTCTTATGGGACTGGAGAACTCCCCAGGTACACAGAGACTGATGTATCTTTAACCCACCTGTCGTTTGTCTTCAAGAGCCCAAGGATCTTTACTTGCAGGGAAAACAGTTTTATCCTGGACCATTTTCCTATGCAGTTCTCCTTTTGTGTTTCCATTAAAAATGACATAAGCAAGTGTTTCCATACCCACATTTATTATTATAGCAAAAAATTGATGACATTTTAGGCAAGTGCACTTTACATGACTTTGTAACATGCCTAAATGCTTATGCATGCTGCTCTGCTGGTCTTTAGTTACAGGAATAGCCTTTCTGTTTGTTTTGGCTAAAAAGAGAAATCCCTTGCTCTGGCACCTTAGTTGACATGGATTTTCAGAGCCACAGCAGTACTAAGGAGCTATTTCTTTCCCTGCCCTCAAAATCAACATTCTTTGATTTCTGTTGTGGAGTGGAAAAGATTAATGACATCCCTTTTGGTAGATGGCATGGGTCACTGAGAGAGGCTGTAATCCATGCAAAGTTATTTTCATTGGCTAATAACATGGTATATATGGAGAAGATTTTACTGATGATTATTTTGGATTTGGATGACCTCTGAGTGTCACTTGATATTTTTGTTTCTGAGGTGGTATCTATCGCTACAGATGTAGATTGCCCAATCTTCCTTCCGAGGAGTGGCTGGTGGGTTTGAACCACCAGCCATCTGGTTAGCAGTCAAGTGCCTTAGGCACTACGCCACCAGAGCTCCCTTCACTTGATTAGCATGGTTCACAAATGCTGCTGAGAGTGAATTTTAGGTTGACTCTGATACTGTGGCCAGTTCTAAGAGTCCATAGACTGGGTGAGCAATGGGCACCATTTGCTTCCTTCATCGGGCTTGACTTCCTAGTGAGTCTGAACTTGGCTTTAGAGATAGCTGAGGGGAGTGGTTCTCAGATTCACTGGCCCAGGAAACATTTACCTTGTTAAACATTAGAGAGGCCCACTATGAGCTTTTGTTTATGGTTGTTATCTCTCCGTAGTTACCATATTTGAAGTTAAAATTGAGAAATGTTAAAAATATTAGTTTACTTGAAGATAACAATAAACCCACTTATGTTAACATAAGTAGCATTGTGTTGTGAAAAACAGCTATTTAAAAAAAAGTTAGTGAGAATAGTTTTGTTTTTACATTTTTGCAAATCTCTTTAATATCACTTAATATAAGACAACTTGATTCTCATCTATTTTAGCTTGTAGTCTCTTGGATATTACCCATATGCAGCCTCTGGAAAACTCCACTGTACACTCATGAGACAATGAGAGTTTAACATGCCATCAATGTTGGTATTATTAAGAAAATCATTTTAGCCTCATGGACCCAGGGGTTCTTGGATACTTTCAGAACTATTGGCTAAGAAGTTGTGAATAATGTTCAAAAATAAGGTTCAGTCCCAGGCAAATATTTTTAAGAGTTTTGCATTTAAGTGGTACTCAGTGCTCATGAAGTTTCTTTTTTTTCATAAAGCAATTCCAGTCGAATTTAATGAACATAAGCAGAAGACAGTTTGACATTGAAATGAAAAATACTATGCTGAACTTCATAGAGCCCTTATCTATTTATTATAAGAAGACAATACAATGTTTTTATTAGTAGCAGTAGTATTGTAGACCTTATTTTTATTGTGTGATCTTGGAAAAGTCCTTTCACCTTCTGAACTTCCTTGGTTAGAGGCCATGAACACTGAAGACAGGAGTGAAAGGGGTTGGACATGGAGCTGGGCCAGAGGTTGGGGATTCCTACCAGCTCAAAGATCTGTAGTCTGTGGTGGTTCAGCATCTTCTGCTAATTAAAGCAACTTTAAGTTGCCATCATGAATAAGGAGGTACCTGACAGTGACTGATGGTCCAACGTCAACAGCCCCCTACTTTTTCTCAGTTAATCCCAACAATTTCCCATTTTAACAGTTGAGCAGCTAGAGCTCAGAGGAGTTAAATCACTTGCCCAAAGATTCTATAGCTAGCTGCTGCTGGATTCAGACCTGGACCTGTTGGACCCCACATGTACCTACCATCTCTCCATACTGTAAGGGGCAAGCTATATGCTTCATTTTGGGGAAGAGATTCTTGCCCCATGGTTGGTATCATGGCTCATGGATGCAACTTAATAATGTTTGCATCAAATTGAATAACACTTGGACACCGTTTGTATAAGAGAAAATCTGACAGGCTAGTTCAAGACCAATGTACCAAGACAGTGAGGGAGGCTGTATCTGGTTTATATAATCCAACTCTATGTAAGTGGTTCCCCCTGAAGTTGTGTAACCCACAGCCCGCACACACCTACTTGGCAGTCCTGGTCCACCACACACATTCTAGTTATTATTGTCATAAGCTGTAGGCTTCTTGAGATGAGTGACCTCCCCACCTCTGGGTCCCTATAGTGCCCAGCATAAGACCTAGCAGGCATCACAGTAGTCCAGATATGCTTGTTCAGTGTGAATACTTGGTCTCTCCCACTAGGCTGTAAGTACCTTTATGTCAAAGCAGGTCCAAGGAGAATTCTCTCATGCCAGTGCTGCACACACCAGTGATTTGTAACAATGCCTCTTGCCTCCTTCAGGTTTTGCACTTCAGTCGTGGGCGAAGCCTGAGAAAAAAGAGAGAGAGGCTCAAGGAAGAGAGGAGAGCCCAGTCTGTGCCAAGAGATGAGGTGGCACAAAGCAAGGTGGGGGGTAGCCCTCCTGCCCTTCCCCTCCCCCACACCCTTGTACAGTGGGTGGGAAGCCATCTCCCTACTTTCACTGGGTTCTTCTGGCAGGTGCCATGCTGTCTTTGCCTCTCCCTCCTCCTGAGGTTCTTCCAAGTATCGCCAGTCTTTTCCCTTTGGCTTTGTGTCCCCGCTCCTCCAAGGTTTCAGAGCATGGGCCTGTGTGTGCACTGCTCATCTTCTCCAGCATCCTTGGGTGGTTATGTTTACCAGCCCCATGTATTTGTGGCCTTGGGTCTCCACATGTGGGCAGCACTGCCTCTCTGACATTGTGTCCTTTAATTGTGGTTCTCAAAGTGTGATGTCTAGTTCATCACCTGGGAACTTGTTAGAAATGCAGATTCTTGGGCACTCCTGAATCAGAAACTCTGGGGTGGGGCCCAGCAATCTGTGTTTGAACAAGCCCTGCAGATGATCCTGATATGCACTAAGGGTTGAGAATCACTGGCATAGGTTACTTCCTCTCGTTCACATTAGGGAATTGACCAAGGCTGTGCTAGCCCCTGTGGCTTCTTTGTGCAAATTAGGAAAAGATGCTCCTTTAGCAGACCAGCCTGGCATGGGGCATACATACAGATGTCATTCAGCTCCCCTCAACCCCTTCACCCCCTCAGTTCAGGGCCCTTGTGGAGTAAAGAGCTTGCACAGTTATACATGGTAGCCCTGCAGTGAACCATCTCTTTCAGCTCTCCTAGGAGAAATACAAGGATATAGGGACTAAGACGGACACATTTTTGGACATAAAATTATATCACCAAGTACTTGCTCTTCTGTCTGCCATATAAAATCCTCTCATCAGTTTCGAGGGTTAAGGCAGTATCACTGTGATGACTCATAGATAGTAAATTGTAAAAATTCCCCTGAGGACCAGAATTTTTATTTTACTTCATTTCAAAGAGGTCTGTCTGCCATGGATTGTGGGGTCCAAATCCGAAAAATCAGTGGGGTTCTGTTTTGTTGACATGCAGAAGACTGAAAATCTCTAGTGCTGAGGTGTTTTTGTGTGTGGTAGGTTCCTGGAGTTCTAGGCCAAAGAATTAGACCCAAGAATACATTGAGTTTGGTACCTAATAAGTATAATAAAGCCAAGTATTCAACCAATGAGAGAAAGCATATCTATTTAAGACCACCACTCTATGTCTTGCTAACTGAATTTTACCCCATTAGTGAAAAAGGCGATGGGGCAAGTAGAAAAAGCACCTTATCTCTTCCTTTAGGTGGAAATCACCCTTGGCTAGTACTGACTGGGCTTCTTGCTGTTTGCTGCTTACTGTTCCCATGTTGGGCACATGGGTTTGTTGGATACATGGGAAATGTCAGCATTTCAAACCTGACCTTCTCCTCAGTAAATACTATTGTTTTGCCTGCCCTGTCAAGGAACTACCTTTTATCCCAATTAAGAAAAGATGGGAGGTCTTCAGGTGTTGTACTGGTTCTGAGCATTGTTTTTCTTCAACATAAGCATTCTCTGGGGACGAATTTGTGCCCCACCCACCTGCCCTTTGGGGAGGGAAGGCAGAACCAGAGTGCAGTATCTTTCAGTGCTATCTCTTATTTCCCCAAAGTGTAGGGTTTAAGTCTCTCCTTAAAGAAATAGTTTGTGGGGTATGAAATGGACAAGCAAAAGGGGCAACAGAAGCTTCTTAGGTGTCTGGGCTTTTTTCTCTGTAGGGTAGTGTCTCAGCAGGAGACTCCCCCAGCAGCGAACAGGCTGCACTCAGAAAAGAAGAGGCCAGAGAAGATTTCCTGTCAGCTTCCCCGGAGCCCAGAGAAAAGGACAACAGGAGAAGAAAGTCAAGGCCTAAGGTCAGGAGCAGCTGAGTTGGTGCCTGGGAAGCAGGTTGGCAGAGGGCCTCAGGACTAATCATATCCAAGAGCTATAAAACCACCTCACTTGGCTTGCTGGTTTGGAGTTAGAATACAGAAATTAAATCAGGCTAAGTTCTGGCACAAAGTTAGCATGCCAATATACTTCCTTTGACATATTCAGTATTTGGAATAGAATACCTTAAGTTGAAGCAAGGAGGTGTTCCTTTATCTGAAATGGGAGCCAATGGTTGGTGTCACTCTTGTAGATGCCACTAGTATTCAGGGTGTCATCTCTTCCTCTCCCTCAGGTCTCTGCCTTTTCAGATCCCACTCCACCAGCAGACCAACAGCCTGGACACCAGAAGAATGGGCATGCTCATAATCACCCCAAAAAGAGGAGCAGACATCGGTGTTCATCCCCACCCCCTCCCCATGAGTTCAGAGCATATCAGCTCTACACATTGTACCGGGGCAAAGATGGGAAAATAATGCAGGTACCTACTGCAGGAGATAGAGCCACAGGCATTAAACAAGGATGTTCGTTTGACACTATCCTTGGGGGCTCCCAGTCACCTTAGCCAGAGATTTTATAACTCGGGTCATCCTAGTGATGTAAATCACTCACATACATGCCTGCTGGTTAGGCTCAAGAAAATAGACGGTTAGTTACAGAGCTTTCTGCACCATCCTTATTGTTGTTAGCAGCTGTAGAATTGGCACCCAACTCTTGGTGACCCTTTGCACAACAGAATGAGTGCTGCCTGATCCTGTACCACCTCCGTGATCCACTGGGGATCAGACTGTGTGATCCATAGTGTTTTCATTGGCTGATTTTTGGATGTAGATCACCAGGCCTTTCTTCTTAGTTCGTCTAGTCTGGAAATGCCATTGAAACCTATCTAGCATCATAGCAACATTGAAGCCTCCACTGACAGATGAGTAGTGGTTGAACATAAGTTGCACTGGCCAGGAATCTAATCAAATCCTGGTCTCCTGCATGAAAGGTGAGACTGAACTACCACTGCCCCCATGCACTATCCCTAGGTGAATAGATAACCTTGAGGACCCAGAGTGGATAAAAGCAGTGTGAGGACAGGGACCATAAAGGGCTGGCTCAGTGTGTCTCCTCCACCATCTGTATTCTCGGCCCCTGATGTACTGTCTGGCACGTGATAGGTATGCTAAACACATCTATCTGGTGAAGAAATGAATGAGTTGTGTTGATTCCTTTTTTGTTTTCCATGTAGGCACCAATAAATGGTTGTCGATGTGAACCTCTAATCAACAAGCTGGAGAACCAGTTGGAGGCAACTGTGGAGGAGATAAAAGCGGAGCTGGGATCTGTTCAGGATAAAATGAATACAAAACTGGGGCATATGGAGAGTAAGACCCAGCACCAAGTAAGTGAGTGGGCCAGCCCCCTAATTCAAGGGGTAATGGCACAAAATGAAACCAGAAAGAGACCTCAGTACCTCCTTCATCCTGTAAACTCTGCCCTGAGTGTCAGATGGGCTCTTAGAGAAAAGGCTGCTTATATAATGTTCTTAAAGCCTATTTATTTAAATCACTTAAGAACATGTTTCAATTGCTTCTGATTACAAAAGTAATAAACAGACTAGAACAACTAGATGGTGCTCAGCTACCAATGCCAGCCACTCAGGAAAGGATCAAAACTGGAGATCCTGGATAGAGTGGGAGGAAAAATGTGGAACAAAATCCAAAAACACAATAAGGACCAGAATTACTGGTCGGATGGAGTTTGGTGCAACCCCCAATACTTTGGCCCTGGGATACACTTCGGGCCTGGAATAAAACTCACTCTTAGGGGCTGGCTATCAGCGCAATAGTAAATAAGGTGTACATGCAGACCACTCAACCCAGGGTGATGCACCCACATACTCTATGGAGATGCATCCCTTGGAGCAATCGAACATGGGGCAACAGAGGGGCAATATTTGAATGGAGGAAGTGCAGGACACACAGGAGTGCATAACTATGAGAGGCACAGGCAGGGGTTACTGGGCAGGAAGGGGAGGAGACTGACTTAGGGTTGGGGATGGTAATTCGGGAGTGAAACCAAATGTACATGAAATGTTGAATGTAAAACAAACTCTGCTCTGTAAACTTGCACCTAAAGCACAATTTAAAAAAAAAAAAAAAAAAAAAAAGTAATACATACCCATTACAGAGCATTTAGAAAAATATGAACATTAGAAAGGAAAATAAATCACCTATAAATCCACCATGATGTAAAAGCACTATTAATATTTGGATTTCTCCTCTTCCAATGTTTTCTTTATGCTAGTGTACTCCACACATACCCCTCCCCTGTATACAAAATTAGAATAATCATGTCTATACCAAACTCAAACCAAACTCTGCCATGGAGTCGATTTCAACTTACAGCGACCCCTCCTTGGGTTTCTGAGGCAGAATCTCTATGGAAATAGATTGCCCAACCTTCCTTCTGAGAAGTGGCTAGTGGGTCTGAGCCACCAGCCTTCTGGTTAGCAGTCAAATGCCTTAGGCACTATGCCACCAGAGCTCCTAATCATGTCTATGTTGTTGTTGTTGTTGTTGTTTTTATGTGCTGTCGAGTTGGACCTGACTCAAAACGACCCCTCCTTGGGTTTCCAAGGCAGTATCACTAAGGAAGTAGATTGCCCCATCTTCCTTCTGAGGAGTGGCTGGTGGGCCAGCCTTTTGGTTAGCAGTCAAGTGCCTTAGGCACTACGCTACAATCATGTCTATAGAGGAAACTGAAGTCTATTGTTGGTCTTGCAAAATTTTATCATGTGATCTCTGGTGTCCTTTCTGTCACCAAGGCCATATTTTCCAACTACTGTTGATTCTTTGTTTCCTAATCACCAGTAATAATTAACACATCTTGATTGGCCAATTTCAAACTACAGAACTTGGTAAAGGCTTCAATTTCTTCCTCTATACCAAAAACGAAACTCACTGACATCGAGTTGGATTCAGCTCACAGCAACCCCACCTTGGGTTTCCGAGGCAGAATTACTACGGAAGTAGATCGCCCCATCTTCTTTCCGAGGAGTGGCTGGTGAGTTTGAACTGCCAGTCTTCTGGTTAGCTGTCAAGTGCCTTAGGCACTAGGCTACCAGAGCTCCTAGACATGATTATTCTAATTGTGTGTGCAGGGAAGGGGTGTGTATGGAGTACAGTAACATAAAGAAAACATTGGAAGAGGCAAAACCCAAATATTAATAGTGCTTTCACATCATAGTGGATTTATAGGTGATTTGTTTTCCTTTCTAATGTTCATATTTTTGTAAATGCTCTGTAATGGGTACGTATTAGTTTTGTAATCAGAAGCAATTGAAACATGTTTTAAGTGTTTTAAGGCATATGGGGAACATTTACATGAGGTAAATACACTCCTTGGAGCAATCAATCATGAGAAAACAAAAGGGCAGGGTTTGCACAGGGAGACAGCTCAGAGGACAGGAAAGAGAGAGACATAAGGAAGAGGAAACTATGGGGAGGAAGCAGGAAGAGAGCTGTTATGTTGTGAGGAATAATTGCAGTCAATGTCATGAAACAAAATGGGTATGAAATGTTGTATGGAAAATGAATTTGCTCTGTAAACTTTCACCCCAATCACAATAAAAAATTTTTTTAAAATTCTTTTTTTTGGCAAGACCAGCATATTGCAAATACCTTTTTCAACAATATAACAGTGGGTATACACATGTACCTCGCCGGATGGAATACATAGGGATCAGATTGACTGCATCTATGGAAAGATGTGATGTATCTTCAGTCAAAACCAGGCCAGGAGCTGACTGTGGAACAGACCATCAGCTGCTCATAAGCAAGTTCAAGTTGAAGCTGAAGACAATTAAAACAACTCCACAAGAGCCAAAATATGACCTTCAGCGAAAAAGGGGGACACCCTCAAGGAGATGGGTTGACAACAGTGGCTTCGGTGATGGGCTCAGGTGTAGCAAGGATTGTGAAGCTGGCACAGGATCATGCAGTGTTTCATTCTGTCGTACAGAGGGTTGCTATGAGTCTGAGTCGACTCATCGGCACCGAAAGACATCATAGTTTTTCACTCTGTCTATAGTTTTTTCTCTGATCCTAACTTTTTATTTTGAAAAATTTCAAACATAAAGATAAGTTGGAAGAATGATAAAATGAATGCTCATATACCTTCCACCTAAATTCGTTTTTTTTTTTTTTTCTTTTTTTGCCATATTTGCTGCATGTCTCACTAACGCCCAATTTTTCTTTGTTGAACTTTTTACTGAATCAGAAACTGGATGTGCAGACCAGCAGTCTACCTTTTAGCAAACCCCCCAGGTAACTGTGATGCATCTTAAAGTTGGAGAACCTCTGGAGTAGACACATGATTAGGTTCAATTTAAATATTTTTGGCAAGAATACTTCATTTCCAGTACTAATGGTGTGAACTTCAAACTGTATCTTATCAGAAAGCACATGTCAGAATATCTAATTACTAATGATGCTAAACTTGACCCCTTAGCTTATCTGGCAACTGCCATATCTCTCCATTGAAAAGGTTCTTTCTCCTCTTGTAATGAATAAGTAACATATGATGAATATAGATTCTTAAGTATTATGATAAAATACATATAACTAAAATTTGCTATTTGAACCATGTTTATGTGTGTATTCAGTATGTTGAATTCACCACGGTGAGCAGTCATCACCACTATTCACTTTTTTTTTTAAGAGCTTGTTTTACATTCAACATAATGCATACATTTAGTTTCATTCCCCATTCACCATGTCCAATCCTAACCCAACCACTATTCACTTCATGTCTTTGTTTCTGAGCATCTACTTCATTCTTTCCTTTTCCTTCAGATCTATTTGTTCTGTTTTTCCGAAATTCAAAAATTGTCTCTTTTGGGTTCGGGAAAGGTGACAGATTGGGGTGTACAATCTTCATCTAATTCTAAATCCCAGGAAAGGACTCTGGCCCATATGAATCAGGTGTTCATGCCTGAACCCATCAGCCATGACCTGTGAACAAAGACTTGCATAAACACGGTTGCTCTTGCCATGACCACTTGTGTAGCAAGAGGATAAGAAGGTGAGGGAGTAGGCCAATTCCAGAAAACAAGAGGAGGGCAACACACAGAAAAGCATGGAGCCTGGAGACAAAACGAAAGGTGCTCACCACATCTCCAGAACTGATGTTTCTTTTTTTATTTTCTGAACATCTGAGTGTGGAATGTTACTTCCCTGAGAGGAGAACTCACCACCATTAGCTCTTGTGGTAACAACGGTTCCTTTCTCTTCTGGTTTCTTGGCAGTAGACCTTGTCAAAGTAGTGAAGGTTTGGCCCTACTGGGCTTTAGGGTACTACAGGAAATTTAAGGATAAAGGGGGGACCTAGAAAGGTATGAGATTGAAAAGTAACAGCCATCTGTTCTATGAGGGTGTTCATTTATCTTCCACATTCTTCTTTGCACATGCTTTGGCTACTTTCAATGAAGCAACAAAAGTATTTGCTCCCTGGGAGAGCTGGATGAAAGCCCTGAGTAGTCAGCTCGTTTCACTACTTTTGGGGCAGCTGCTAACATTGCTTATTTAAAAAGAAGGGGAAGTGACTCCATACTTTTCTAGTTTTTCCTTATAATAGTCTTAGAAATAATGCTCTAAGGCATATAAAAAGTCTGTTTTGCTTATAAGGTCTGCATGGCTCAATCTGTAATTTCTTAAACCTTTTATGATTTTAAAAAAATAAGAAAAAAGACATGCTCAGAAGTTCTGAAAAATTCAAGTTCCACAAAAACTATATGAAAACAGAATGAGGAGTTGAGGTTTGCTTGCTTTCTCTCTAGCCCGTACCTGGTACTCCCTAAGCCCCTCCTCAGGAGCTGAGAGACCAGAACCAATCTCAGTCATGTACTCTTCCCGTTGAATCCTAGATGCGTGTGCTGGACAAGCTGATGGTTGAGCGACTGTCAGCAGAGAGAACCGAGTGCCTGAATCGCTTGCAACAGCACTCAGACATGGAGCAGCATGAGGGAGAGAAGCGACAGGTAAAAACTAGTAGCTACCACCATAAAGAGAAATGAAGTTCTGCTGCAGGCTACGACCTTGAAAATGTTGTTGGTGTGTGCTGTTGACTCATAGCAACCCCATGTGGTAGAGTAGAACTTCCCCGTAGGGTTTTGCCTTTACGTTCACCAGAATTAACATGTCTACTATCTATTGAATGATTCTCCCTCCCTCCCTTTCCTTCTCCAGCAGCCATCAAAGAATGTTGCTGTGTGTAAACCTACAGACTTTTTATAAAAGTGATTAAAAAAAAAAAAAAAAAAACCCACAGCCCGTGAGTCAGATCCAACTCATAGCAACCTCTCCTTGTGTTTCCGAGGCGTTATCACTACAGAAGTAGATTGCCTAACCTTCTTTCCGAGGAGTGGCTGGTGGGTTTTGACTGCCAGTCCTCTGGTTAGCAGTCAAATGCCTTAGGTACTACACCACAAGAGCTCCTATAAAAGTGATATCATGTAATATTTATTGTTTTGTGATTGACTTGTTTCACTCAGCATAATGTCCTCCAGATTCATCTATGTTATGTTTTGTGTATTCCTCATTATTATTTATAAGTTACATAGTATGTATGTACCACATTTTGTTTCTCCGTTTGTCGATGGATACTTAGGTTGTTTCCATTTTTTCACTGTTGTAATAATGCTGCAGTGAACATGGGTGTGCATATATCTGTTCCTGTCATACCTCTTATTTGTCTAGGACATATGCCTGGGAGTGGGATTGCTGGATCATTGGTATTTCTATTTCTAGCCTTTTGAGGAAGCACCATATCATTTTCCATAGTGGTTGTACCATTTTACAATCCTACTAGCAGTGTATAAGAGTTACCCACAACCTCACATTTATTTTGTTTTTCGATCAGTGCCATTTTTTGCAGGTTTAAGATGGTATCTCATTGTAGTTTCAATTTGCATCTCTCTGTAATGGCTAATGAACACAAACATCTCTTCATGTGTTTGTTAGCCACCTGACTGTCTTTGATGATGTGTCTGTTCATGTGTTTGTTAGCCACCTGACTGTCTTTGATGATGTGTCTGTTCATGTCCTTTGCCCATTTTTGATTGGATTGTTTGTTTTTTTTTTGTTGTTGAGGTGCCATAGGGTTTTCTAGGCTATAATCATTGTGGAAGCAGGTCACCAGGTCTTTCTCTTGCAGAGCGGGGTGAGGTGGGTTCAAATCACCAACTTTTCAGTTAGTAGCCCCGTGCTTAACCACTGTGCCACCGGGGCTCCTTACTGTAAGTCAAGTAAGTTATATACTAAAGGATAAATATTGTATGAGCCTCCATAGATATAATGTCTGGAACAGGCAAATGCACAGAACAAAGTTTATCAGTGGTTACCAGGGGCTGAGGAGGGGGAGAAATGGAAAATAACTGCATAAGGGGTACTGAATGTCTGTCTAGAGAGCTCTGGTAGCTTAGTGCCTAAGGCATTTGACTGCTAACCAGAAGGATGGCAGTTCAAACCCACCAGCCACTCCTCAGAAGGAAGATTGGGCAATCTACTTTCTAATTTCTGTCTAGGGTGATGAAAAACTTTTGGAAGTAGTGGTGATGGTTGCACAACACAGTGGATCTAATTAATGTCACTGAACTGTACGCTTAAAAATGGTTCAATTGGCAAATGTATTGTTATATATATTTTACGAAAGTAAAATTAAAAATAAATTGGGAAAAAGAAAAAAAAATACAGCAGTGTATGTCAGTACTTAACTTACAGTTCATCACACATGTGTTTTGAGTTAAAAGATTCAGACCTGCTATTGAAAACTCAGAACTTTTGCATTAAGTAGCATGGCATTGTCTTAATCCTAAAATGAAGTTAATAGAAGAACTTGTAGTCAGTTTATGTTCATTGTTGAATATACTGCAACAGGTTGAGGCTGAACAGTTTATAGAAAATGTTGGGGGAAATGAGATCTCTGCCCTGGACCAGTTATGTTTACAGTGCCTTTGTTGGACTGTTACACTATTATTGAACAAGACATGGCCTGCCCTCAAGGGCAGTCTACCTGGGACAATAAACATGGAGCTCTCACATGTGTGACGGCACATGCTCGTAAGCAGCCAGAAATGCTTGCTTTGAAAGATGAGTGGTTTTGGGTGTTTGAGTTTAAGGTGTCTCTCAGTCACTTAATGAAGAATGTTGATAGCTATTAGCTGGGGTGCTGGATGAACTTTACAAGCAGAGAAGGCTGTGGCCCGTGGGAGGGTGAACGAACCACAACTTTTGGGTTTGTCAAGGCAACATCCTCAACTACTGAAAAGTCCATTCATGATGCATTAATTCATAAACCATGTATCAGATTCACCTGATTCTTTTATGTACTGCTTTGTTTTCTTAGATGTCCTTGGTGGATGAATTAAAAACCTGGTGCATATTAAAGATTCAGAATCTGGAGCTGAAGCTTTCCGGAGATTCTAGGGCCTCCAGGTCTAAATCCATACCATCTACTTGGGAGTCTTCTACAGGTAATCTACCTGCAGAGAGCTCTTCTGTCCAAAGGCGATGAAACCTTGCCAGTCTCTTCCTCTCTTGTATCAGAAGACAGTTCACACTGTATGGCTGTGGGAAACACTGAATTTTAGAGTAAGCTCTGTAAAAGGGCAGGGACCCTGTCTATTTTGCTCACCACTGTACACTCAGTTCCTATATAGTAATGAAGCACTCTTGTTTTAGTGCTCAGAAATACCTGAGAAATGGAATGAAAGAATTATTATTGATCAGTGATACAGGGCTTCAGGTTCAGTGTTAATGTTCTCAGGTGTGGACCCCAAAGATGAGGCGTGATGTGCAGGCCATCTATCTCCAAAGCAAGCCTCTCTCCCTTACCCCTTATGCCTCTTTCCCTTTTCATTTCCTTGATCTGTCATTTACTTTTGTCCAATTATATGAAACCTTATTAAACAGCTATTCATGTTTTGAACATGCCCTGGGTATTAGGTAAGAGATGCTTTGAGCAAAACATCGTTACACAAGTTACAGTGATTACATTTAGTGATAATTTTGAGGACGTTCAGAGCCTTGATAATTCCACCTCAGTGGGGATTTGGTATGTCATGTGTTTTGTGTTAGTTATATGTGTGGCACAGATGGTTTGCACTTGACTACTGACCTAAAGGTTGGCCATTCATACCCACCCAGCGGTGCTACAGAAGGCTTGGTGATCTGCTTCTGTAAGCATTATAGTCAAGAAAACCCTCAAGAATGGCTCTACTCTGTGACACTGGGTTGTCATGAGTTGTAATCAATGGCAGTGGTTTTTGGGGATTTGGGGTGTGTGTGTGTGTGTGTGACCACAGGTCATCTCTGGACTATGGTTTTACCTTCTTTGTATTCAGATTGGGACACACTGTGGGCAAATTTTGTGCTAGGAGTAATCATGGAACTCTGGGTATAAGGAGTAGGATCACCTTTCCAAACTGGAGCTTGGGTCAAGGAATTAAGTACACTAAGGCTCTGGTAGCATAGTGCCTAAGACACTTGACTGCTAACCAGAAGGCTGGCAGTTCAAACCCACCAGTTACTCCTCGGAAGGAAGATGAGGCAATCTACTTCCGTAGTGATACTGCCTCGGAAACCCAAGGAGGGGTCGCTATGAGTCGGGTCCGACTTGATGGCACATAACAACAACAACAAGGCCACATTGGAGCTCTGGTAGCATAGAGCCTAAGGCACTTGACTGCTAACCAGAAGGCTGGCGGTTCAAACCCATCAGCCACTCCTTGGAAGGAAGGTTGGGCAATCCTACTTCTGTAGTGATACTGCCTCAGAAACCCAAGGAGGGGTCGCTATGAGTCGGGGCTGACAACAAGACCACATTGTAGAAAAGGCCCAGAAATTACACAATGGAGACAGCCATTTTCATAGATAAATGCCCAACTCTATTTTAAGTTTCCTAGAGTAGACTAAGTAGATTAGATGCTATCAGTGTTGCTACTATGGTATGCATGAAAGCCCTGCCAAAATGCTAATCAGGCCAGAATTACCAGCAGGAAATGAACAGAAAGGTGAGAAATACCACAGAGGGAAAGATGCAGATAGTGGGTGGTGATTAAGAATGCGCAGGATTCCTAGGCCTCTCAAACAAATCCTGACCCACAGCCCTGTGAACAAGGGTTGCTCTTTTATTTTCCTCCTGAAACCAGGTGCGGATCAAGATCAATCAGTGGTGACTGCAGGTCCATTAGCAGCTTCTGACAGCTCCCCTAAGGTGGTTAGGCCCAAGGAGAAGCCCCTCAACTCCACCACTGCCCATAGACCCCATCAGGAGCTGTCTTCCACTGACTGTGCAGGTTCCCGAGTAAGGAACGTCAAGGTCCAGACAGCCTTGCTGCCTTCAAATGAGGCAGCTAAGTGTGATCTGCAGGCTGGGCCCTGTGTCGACAGAGGCACCCAAACCAAGAAGTCTGGGAAAAGTGGGCAGATGAGGCATCGAGCCCAGCACCCAACATCCAGCAACTGTGGGCCGCTGCCGCCACCAGCTGCAAACAGCGAGCGGACTGCCCCTCACGTTCGAGACACCTCCCAAGCTCTGGAGCTTACCCAGTATTTTTTTGAGGCTGTTTCTACCCAGATGGAAAAATGGTATGAAAGGAAGATTGAAGAAGCACGAAGCCATGCTGATCAAAAAGCCCAGCAAGATAAAGCTACACTGAAGGAACACATTAAAAGTTTAGAAGACGAACTTGCTAAACTCAGGACTAAAGTGCAGAAGGAAAATTAGAGCCTGGGAAGTGGAAGAAAGGATTCTTGAGGATTTCAGGTTTTCCAACTGCAGAATACCTATGCCCAAGGTGTCAGTCACTGTGCGCATTAGCAGACTTGCCTTTAAAAAATCACTCCTCTCTGATATGTGCCAGACACACCACTTCCTATGCCCTGAAGTTATGAAAACTTCAACAATTAAACTGAAACCAGGCAAGTTTGCTTAGTTTCAGGTTTCATTTCAAACTCCAAACCTCGGTCCAGGTTCATCTGGAGTTCAGAAGCTCAGCTTAAGCAAGGCACATTGAGGAGATAAATGATGTGTAAGCCAAACACTAAAATTTAGGGTGGAAGAAATAATATAAATCAAAAACAAGGAAAAAAGTCAACCCCTTGGGAACTCATATGGAACTTATTCATATAAATTTAAACACACCTGCTGTGCCTAGACAAGTGTGTCTCTCTAAAAGAACTGTAACTCCAAATGTGCTAAACATTCTCCCTCAAATTCCAAAAAGCTGACATCGTAACCAGGTGGAAACTTAGCACCGTTTTGAGGAGAAAGATTGTCATGATGTCACAGGATCCAGTATATCTTTAAACTATTTGAAAAGTCAGAATTTATTTAAATAATGCATAATTGGCCAATAGCACTGTGAATGAGCTTGAATGAGAAAGTTTTAGATCATTTGGTCATGGTTTCTGTATTTTGAGCCAAAAAATTGATTAATCATAGTGATTTTAAGGCAGCTAAAAGGAAAATATATTTACTTAACAATTACCTGAAACTTCATTATAGAATCAAACCCAGTGATTTTAGAGTAACTTTCTGAATTTGAGCTTCTTGGTCTAAATTTTATTTTAAAAATTGGCTACTTCTTCAAGGTGTTAGGTTTTGAATTATTTGAAGAACCTCAAAAACTTTCCATTGCTATAGTGATTCTGTCAGGCTACCCAACTCAATAACTTGATTTAGACCCCACTGTTCTCCAGTCTCATGGCGATTTAAGGATTTTACTTTGATCCATAATGTATAACAAACACAGAAACAAAGTTTTATTGTCAAAGTAGCTTGGATATGTTAAACTTTGGATTTAATTTTCTTCCAGACTTCTTATCCCTAGGAATATGGGATTATACTCATCTCCTCAAAATTCATGTATGCATAGAAACTTTGGTTCTATTTCCATAAATATATATTAACCAGGAATCTAATAAATACTATCCTTAAGTGTGAATAAAATGCTGTTCATTGAGCCAAAGAGAAAATAATGACTTGACATGGGACACCCAGAAAAACAAAGCAGGCTTTTAATTTGTTTTTTTGCTGATCAACCTCACATTTTTTATTTTTCAGAATAACATTATTAATAAAAGTAATTCAGTAGATGTTTTACCAATATTGTTGTTAGGTCAGTTTTTGACTCATAGGAGTTCTGGTGGCATAGTGCCTAAGGCATTTAAATGCTAACCAGAAAGCTGGTGGATCAAACCCACCAGCCACTCCTTGGAAGGAAGATTGGGCAATCTACTTCCGTAGTGATGTTGCCTCGGAAACCCAAGGAGGGGTCGCTATGAGTCGAATCCGACTCACTGGCAGTGCGTTCGTTTTAGTGACCCATGTGACAGAGATCTGTCATCTTTACTGGAGCAGACCATCAGATCTTTTTCCTACAGAGCCACTGGGTGGGTTTGAACCACCTACCTTTTGGTTAGCAACTGAGTGCTTAACCATGGGCTCCTGTATTACTATTGCAGAACCTAAACGTGGAATTAGTTTGATGTTATCTCAAGTGTATTTTCCTATTTGTAAACGTCTCATTCCTACTACGTACAAGACTGCCAGTCCTTTCCCAGTCTCTTATTGGACTGCTAGTATGGAAGCACTTTCCTCTTTGCATTTCCCTACTTGTTCTTAATGCAGACTTAACAGAATTTTAGGGTAGACAGTACCTTTCTAAACCCATCCCCAACAAGCTAAGCTTTTTGGAGCCATTCCATAATAAACATCACTTTATCAGGAGCTGCTGAATACGCAAAGAGAGAAACCCCTGAGAAGTTCGGTAAGTCACGTTCCATACAGTAATTTCCACGCATTAAAATAACCCTATTACCTCAAGGGTTGTCCTTGTCAAGGAATGCTAAAAATAAACTGAATTTTAACTCTCAGAACTAGACCACTGAGCACTTTGGTGGGGAATATTTTGCCTATATACCTCCCGCCCATCAGAAGCAAGCAGCTTATTGTTGTGTGTGAACCAGATATTTTGTTGGAAGTCACAGTTAAGGAAGAGACTAGGGATGAATGAGGAAAGTCAAACGGACCTAGTCTGGCAGATTACATGGCTCTTGTCCTTGGTAGTCTGTCATAGAAGAAAAACCAGTAGAATCAAGGAAATAGTACAGGGTCAGCCGCCTCCTAAACCAGGAGATGGCACTCTCAAAAGACCAATGCAACAGCTTGTTATTTTCAACAAATGTGTTTGGTCTTTTTTGCTCCTTGGCATTATCAAATATTTAACTTCAAATCCAGTACATATTTTTCTCCCCCACCCCACCTTCTGCTATTTGCAAAAATGAGTAATCCACAACTGTTCTTTTCTAGGGAAATGGAATGGTTTACAATGGTTTATAACTTGTCGCATAGGTCATGTCTCAAACTGAGGCTGAAACTTTTAATAGCAGTGGGAGAAAATGGTATAAAACACAGAAAAGTTGTAATACTGCAATACTATTTTTTTTAAAAAAAGTGTATTATTGCATTGCAAATACTAAATATCCACGATAGACTGAATATATTAGTTGTATTACTTTTGACTGTCATAGCCCAAAATAAAGAAAGCAGTGTTTTGTGTTTATACCTTCTTTTGTGAGTCAAGTGTTAACATCCTTGAGAGGCATGTTATTTGTCTTCTATTTTATCACCTCGAATTCTTGTCTCATCCAAGCATTAAACATTTCTCTCAATACTGTGGATATTAAATTCCTTATTTTAAAAAAAATGTGAATTTTATTCAGCCTTCATTTGCATTCGTGGAATTGACCAAACTTATGGCTCCAGAAAGAGTGCCTTCACCCAGTCATACTTTACCTGGTGTTTGTAAAAGTGTAATTTACAATACATCTGCTTTAAAGTAGAAGTCAGGTGCACTGCATGAAAACAGAAACACTGCTGTAACATGGCAAGATTTCTCAGTGCAAACTTGGACAAATGCTTTGGTCATGCTGTTGGCCATTTGGAAAATACTGAGCAAAAGGGAGGAGAGAACATCATTTGTAGTAGCTAGGTAACACACAAGCTAATGTTATACTCTCTTTGACTAATAACTTGTTCCTAAAAGGTAAATACATTTCTTGTAAAACGTGGATTATATAAGCCAAGCAATTAAATAAAATTTAAAGGACAACATCAGGTGTGTTTCTTCTTTTCTAAAAATCCTCTTAGAATACCTTTTACAAATAAGAAAAAGCCGCCTAATATATTTTTTCAGTTGCACCTTTAAGGGGAAGTGTCCTTTTGCCTTAATACTGTCTTTCCAGGAGACTCAAAAATAAGACATAGCATAGCACTGTTGATACAAGTCAGAGTAGGTAAAAGTGATTTACTCTTCCTGGTAAACAACAATTGGAAATCCAATTGAAAATCCTCCATTTCCCAAATGCTTGACTCAAGCAAGAACACAACCCATGGTGATTTCTTGTTTGGCACGGAGTGATAATCTGCTTTTGATCCTCTTTGGTTTCTTATTCTATGTAATCCCAAACATAATTTTTTCATAGATAGATGTTGCCTGCTTCCCTTTGTTTTTACTAGCATTTCCCTACTTACTCCTTGTTAAGACAGAGATAATTTAGGTAAGAATGGGCCTTTTTGCCTCTCCTTCTGATGTAACTGTTGTTGTTGTTGTTGTTATGTGCCATCGAATCGGACCTGACTCATAGCTACCCCTCTCTGGTTTCCAAGGCAGTATCACTACGGAAGTAGATTGCCCACCTTCCTTCCAAGGAGCGGCTGATGGGTTTGAACCGCCAGCCTTCTCGTTAGCAGATGTGACTACAGTAATACAAAAAAACAGGAAAGTATTTCCCCGTTTCCTGAAAAATTAGAAAGTTAGTCCTCTATTTTTCTGAAGGCAAATTCACAGGAGTGCTTGTACCAGTTTAAAAACTTCCTATCCATGTGCTAAAGGGGCAGGGAGGCTGTATCTTCTGACCTCCTCTAATCCCACAAGAGGAAGACAGAATCACCAACAGTAGCCCAAGGCCTATTCCTGTGAGGCCAGACATACTGCCTTCCTCCAGCCCTTTCACCAACCCTAACACCAATCACTCCTCCCGCAGCACCCACCACCTCTGCTGGGTTCAATAATTCGCTGCTGTGGCCACACAGAATTTACAGATTATGGGGTTTATGAGGGAAGCACCAGGCTACAATTCAAGAAAAACACTCTATCTCTCTCAGCCTGCCATCTCTCAACCATTAGTCTCTCTCAGCCATTCTCCCAGCAATGCGTGTCTCTCGGTGTCTCTTTCAGCAATAGGTTATATAATAAAAGTCATACTTCTCGCATGCTATAAAGCTTTTGTAGTTTTTTTTTTAAATGGCTTTGAAAAAAAAAAAATACCTACTGTCATCGAGTGAATTCCAACTCATAGTGACCCCCACTGGGTTTCCAAGCCAGTAAAGCTTTATAGTAGATTGCCCCATCTTTCCTTCATGGAGCAGCTAGCTAGTGGGTTTCAACTACCAACCTTTTGGTTAACGGTCAAATGCCTTAGGCACTGCACCACCAGAGCTCAAAAAAAAAAAGGCTTGACATATAATTCATATACACACATTTTATCCATTTAAAAAAATGTGTAACTCAATAGATTTTAGTATATTCAGAGTTGTCCAACCATCACCATAATCTAATTTTAGAGTATTCTCATCACAAAAAAAATCCCTGCACCTTTACGTTTTACCAGATACTCCCCATTCCACCCTAGCAACCATTCATCTGTTTCTACAGATTTGCCTATTCTGGTATTTCATACAAGTGGTATCATATAATATGTTTTTTTCTGACTTTCACTTACCATGTTTTCAAAGTTTATCCATATGGTACTAAACTTTTATTTATAGCTATACCACACTGTCTCATTCTGTTGTACATAAGGTTGCTATGAGTTAGAGATGACTTGATGGCACCTAACAACAACATACCACACTGTACCTATCATCATTAATGAGCACTGGGTTGTTTCCACTTTTGGGGTATTATGAATAATGATGCTATTGACATTCATATACAAGTTTCACTTCTCTTGGGTATACACCTAGAAGTAGAACTGCTCAGTCATGGTTTATGTTTACCTTTTAAGAATTGTCAAAATATGCCTTCATTTTACAATCCCACCAGCAGTGTACTAGTGTTCCAATTTCTCCACATCCTCACCAACACTTAATTTTCTCCGAAGTTTTTCATTCTAACTGCCGTAAAGGGTGTGAAGTGTTATCTTCTTATGGTTGTAATTTGCATTTCCTTGTTGGCTAATGATATTGAGCATCTTCTCATGTACTTTTTGGCCATTAGTTAGTTGTACTGGTTTTTGTTTCTTACAGAAACTTCTGATGTATCCAGAAATATTTCCAAACTTCAAGATGTATTTTCAGTGCTGTGGATTTTTCTGATGCTCTTTTCTTTGATGTCTGTGACATGTCATGCTCCATGTTCCGTTATTTTGCCAAGTGCTGTAAATACAAACAATCTGACTTGCCTTTGGGCTGCCTATCACTGAATGTAAGCTCACCCAAACACATGACAATTTAGAAAATCTTCCAGAATGCTACAGTTAAGATTTTGCTAAAGCAAGTGTTTTTTCTAACTCCTTGAGCTGCATGTTGCCTTGAGTTATCATCATCCGGATTGTATCCTGTAGAAGAAAGTGAAATGGGGTGACTGCTTTTACTTGGTTCAACATGGGACGTTTTACTTGGTAAAGTCAAGAATTGATACTGGGAACTGGAAGGGCTGCATATTAGGAAAGCCAAAAGCTAAAGAGTCTGCCTTGCTTCATAGCTCCGCTCCTACTTCCCAAACCATCATGCTGTAATATTTACTATCTTACCTACTCCATATAGCTTAGTATAAAATCAGGTGATGCTACTGAAGAATGTAGATGTAACAATATTAAATTTAAAAAGAACGTCTGAGTGGGAATTGAATTAACGTTAAGAGCAATGATCAAGAGAGAACATCCCAGCATTTAGATTCCTCCCTATTTACTAAAAATACTCTTTTTATCAATAAACAGAGTTAGGTCCTCTCCTCATCATGATCTTGTTCTCACCTCTTCCGTGGCGCTTTTGTTTCTTTTGAATTCTTCCCTTGCCCAATCCTTCAGATATTTACGATCAGAATCGTTTGGAACCTGCCGGATTGCTTGCAAAATCCTTCTGTACAGGAGGAGCACCTGTTGCCTTCTTATGAACTGTACAGGGGAGGAAAAACCGCCATTACTCCTGCACAACTGCCAGCCTGTAAACTGACTCTGGTCGCCAATTTTTCAAGGCAAAGAAAAATATTCTTAAAATGGCAAGAACTTCATTTGTGCCTTTTGCTTGCTGCTTTGTTAAAACTCGCCCCAAACCAAACTCACTGCCGTGGAGTCCATTTCCATTCATAGCCACCCCTTCTTGTGTTTCTGAGGTCGTATCTTTACCGAAATAGATTGCCCGGTCTTCGCAGTAGTGGCTGGTGGGTTTGAACCGCTAGCCTTCTGGTTAGCAGTCAAATGCCTTAGGCGCTAGAAGCCTTAAAATCAAGAGCTCTTAGCGAGCTAATACTTCACAATGCAGAAAAGAGCCTGCCAGTGTCCTAGAAACTGTAATCGCAATTAACAGTACTTTTCCTAAATTAGCGCTGTTGTTTAAATTCTCTGGTAATCTCATTTGTTGTCACAACTCTGTTCAACATGCAGCGCTCTTTACCGCGGTCAGGGGGCAGCTATTGCACCGCAATAGGAAAGGTTAAGAGCCTCGCTCACCTCAAATTTCCGCGATAGGACTGGGTTGCTGGCGTGCCTTCCCATTTGCCCTGCGGCGGAAACCCCGCCTCCCACATCCCGAACCCAATCACCTAAGGAGAGCATGGAGGGTCAGGGCTCGTGGTCTAGACTCGTTGAACCCCCAGGTCCATTCTTTACACAGGGTGGAGGAAAAGGTGAAGAATCCAGAAGTTCAGACCCCGGAAAGCTGCAGTAGAAGGTGGACGAGAACTGCTAGTACCTGTTTTAGCGTTAGTGTCACTGGGGGCAAGCAGGAAGCGGCCATGACTGCTACACACTCTTCTGGTTGGAGCCGCAATGCGCAGGAACGGAAATGGGGGAGCTTCCAGAGGGCGTGGTGAGCTTCGTTTGCTGGGAGAAGGTCTGTGGATTGTGCGCACCAGCTTGGCGGTCGGTACTGAATCCTTCCAGAGGGTACACTTTATCGGATTCGTAGCCATAAGCAATAAATGTCACCTAAGTCTAAATTCTCTCATCGGTGAAATGTGATAATAGTTAATGTGTCATAAGATTTGAGAATGAAATAATGGTAAGGCTCTTAGCACGATGCCCGACACGTGATTAACCACAAAAAAACCCCACTGCCATTAGAGTTGGTTCCGGCGACCGTATAGGACAGAGTAGAACTTCCCCATAGGGTTTCCAAGGCTGTAAATCTTCATTGTCACCTATTTCTCCTGTGGGGCGGCTGGTGGGTTCCAACTGCCTACCTTTTGGTTAGCAGCAGAATGTTTTAGCCACTGCACCACCAGAGCTCCATGGCACATGGTTGAGGGTTTATTAAATGCAAATATTTAGAAGCAAGGAGTAGAAGCCGTCAAAACCAAACCAAACTCACTGCCACTGAGTCGGATTGGACTCACAGCAACCTCTCCTTGGGTTTCTGAGGCGATATCACTATGAAAGTAGATTGCCCCATCTTCTTTCTCAGGAGTGGCTAGTGGGTTTGAACCACCAGCCTTCTGGATAGCAGCCAGATAACTTAGGCAGTATACAACCAGAGCTCCCAGAAGGCTTCACCTACTAAGCAAATGGTTGATTTGCACTCCCCCTTCCCCAGGCGCCTATGAAGACAGGCCTGGTGATCTTGTGTCCAGCTGGTCGCAGCCATGATACTCCTGTGGAGCACACAATTCTACTCCCACACATGGGGTGGTAAATGACTCCAAGTAACTGACCACAAGGTGTTATTTTACTTTACAGCTTTTTAAACACTATAGTTAAAAATACTAAAATTTAAAATGTTTCTTTTGAAATTTGCATTTCGCTCTTCTTTTTACCCCATGTTCATCCTGCTGTTTTCTACTGTAAGCATTTTCTCAAAGTGCTGGGTAGTCCTCATGATCTTCGTTTGTAATGACTACCCAACAAGGATTTAAGCGGCTGCCCCATTGTGGTTTTAAACTTTTTTTTTTTTTTTTCTATCATTTATAAGGAGAAATAACAGCCTTAAACCTCAAGCTTTTATTTCTTTTATGGTTGTTTTATCGTCCCCCCACAACACACATCACACACGCCCTCAGGCTATGTTACCAGAAGCGGGCTAAATGAATCTTTGCAAGGATTGTACCTAGTTAAAATATGACCAAAAACATTTGCTCAATTACCTCTTAATTGAGTGTGAAGTTTAGTCTGGTGGTTTAAACACTGGAGCTCCAAACCCAGATTGCCTTGCTTGATTGTGGAAATCCCAGTTCCCTCTTCATAGCTGTTCTTGCTCCTTAACCTCTCCCAGTTTCTGCCTTTGTAAAGTGAAATTCAGAATTGCAGTATTGAAGGATTCTATGGGCGTAATATTGAATGTTGCAGGAAGTATCAGAAGAAGATAGAAGGAATGTACAGAAAAGATCCATATTTGTGCCCATTCCAAAGGTGATCCAACAGAATGTGGAAATTATCAAACCATATCATTAATATCACACGTAAGTAAAATTTTGCTTAAGATATTTCAAAAAGAATTGCAGTAGTATATAGAAAGGGAACATCCAGAAATTCAAGGTGGAGTCAGTTGCTAATGTCAGGTGGCTCTTGGCTGAAAGCAAATACCAGAAAGATGTTTACTTGTGTTTTATTGACTGCAAAGGCATTTGTGTGGATCATAACAGATTATGGATAACATTGCAAATGGGGATTCCAGAACACTTAATTGTGCTCATAGGAAACCTGTACATAGCCCAAGAGGTGGTTATTTGAACAGAATGAGGGGACACTGAATGGTTTTAAATCAGGGAAATGCATTAGGGTTACATCCTTTCACCATATTTACTCAATCTGTATGTTGAGCAAGTTATCAAAGAAGCTGGACTATATGAGGAAGACTGCAGTATCAGGATTGGAGGAAAGGCTCATTAACAACCTGCAGTATGCAGATGGCACAGGCTTGCTTGCTGAGGGTGAAAATGGCTTGAAGCACTTACTGATGAAGATCAAAGACTACAGCCTTCAGTATGGATTACATCCCAACGTAAACAAAAATCCTCACAACTGGAGCAGTAAGCAGTATCATGATAAATGGAAAAAAGATTGAAGTTGTCAGAGATTTCATTTTACTTGAATCTACCATCAACACCCATGGAAGCAGCAGTCAAAAAAATCAAGCATTGCACTTGGAAAATCTGCAAAAAAAAAAAAAAAAACCTTTAAATTGTAAGGAGCAAAGGTGTCACTTTGAAGACTAAGGTGCACCAAACCAAGCCAGTGGTATTTTCAGTTGCCTCATATGCATGTGAAAGCTGGGCCATGAATAAGGAAGACTGAAGAAGAGCAGATGCCTTTGAATTCTGGTCTTGGTGAAGGATACTGAAAATACCATGGACTGCCAGAGAATGAACAAATCTGTCCTGGAAGAAATGCAGCCAGAAGGCTCTACTTTATCTCACATACTTTGGTCATGTTATTAATAGAGACTAGTCACTGGAGAAGGATGATTGGTAAAGTAGAGGGTCAGTGAAAAAGGTGAAGACCCTCAATGAGATTGATTTTCATAATGGCTGCAATGATGGGCTCAAGCATAGCAAGGACTGTGAGGATGGCACAGGATTGGGCAGCGTTTCGTTCTGTTGTCCACAGGGACAGTCAGAGCCCACTCTATGGCACCTAACAACAACAAAGTGAAATGGGAGTGCTTAGGTGGTGCATACTGTTTGCTTGATTGCTAACTGGAAAAGTTGTCCGTTTGAGTACATGCTGGAGCACCTTGGAAGAAAGGTCTGGCAGTCTACTTCCAAAAAATCACCCAGTGAAACCATGTGAAGTGCTTTTCTACTCTGACATACATAGGGTCCCCACGAGTTGAGAACTGCACAAAGTGATTGGTACTAGTTTAAAGTAAAATTAACATCTATTTGTATTTTATGTAACCCACTCAGAATTACCCAAACCCACTGCCATGGAGTTGCTTCCAACTCACGGCAACCCTAAGATAGAGTAGAACTACCCCATATACTTTGCAAGGTTGTAAATCCTTATGGAAGCAGACTGCCTCACCTTTCTCCTGTGGAGTGGCTGGTAGGTTTGAACCACCAACCTTTTGGTTAGCAGCCGAATGCTCTAACTACTGTGCCACCGCAGCTCCTTGCACTCAGAATAGGCCCCTCATGTAAGTATTCTGCAATCATTAGCCCTTTTGAACATTCCCATTTGTCATTCCCATATTGCCATTGTATGAGTGAGGCTACACCCATGGCCACATGTCAATTATGTATTACTCAAATTTTGTCTCACATTAGCAATAGAACTAACTTCTCATTTGCTTAAGTACTTGTGATGGTAATATCCCTCACCACTTTTAGTTATGCTTATTTTGTGTCTGCTCATAAGTTGGTCCATTTAAGATAATTAGGATTTGATTCTAATTTTATATGGGCTAACAAAGGCAGCATCAAAAATATGGAAGGAATATACAATTACTGTATCAAAAAGCATTGGCTGACTTTCAGTCATTTCAGGAGGTAGCATATGATCAAAAAGTGATAAAGACCAATAAGCAACATCATGAAAAATGGAGAAAAGACTGATGTTGTCAAGGATTTCCTTTTACTTGGATTCACAGTCAATGCCTATGGAAGCAGCAGTTAAAGAAATCAAGCAACAATATATTGCATTGGGCCTATGTACTACAAAGACCTCTTTAAAGTGTTAAAGAGCAAAGATGTCACTTTGAAGTCTAAATGCCTCCTAGACCTAAAGGAAGCTTGAGGCCAAGACAACATGGAGATCTCTAAGGAACACCAGGCCCACAGATTTTGAAAGGAGACAAGGACTTTCCCCCAGAACTGATTGAGAGAGAAAGCCTTCCCCTAGAGCTGGCACCCTAAATTCAGACTTCTAGCCTCCTAAACTGAGAAAATCGTTATTTGTTAAGGCCACCTACTTGTGGAATTTCTTTTATATCAGTGCTAGATAACTAAGACATGTCTGTAGTGTTCTGTACAACCTTTAGAAATATTTTATAAATATCATTTTCCTCCAATCATCTTAGGATCGTTATTGGAATTTGGTTGAATGTACAAATTAATGTGGTAACCTTTTTAAAATATTTCATTGTCTCAGCTAGAAACATTCACTCATTCCAGACTAGTCATACTGTCATGAATCATACATGCTTCCTGTTTTCCAAGACTAATGATTTGGGTAGGAAGACGTTGTTGTTGTTATGTGCCATCGTCAAACCCAACTCATAGCGACCCCTCCTTGGGTTTCCGAGGCAGTATCACTACGGAAGTAGGATTGCCCAACCTTCCTTCTGAGGAGTGGCTGGTGGGTTTGAACTGCCAGCCGTCTGGTTAGCAGGCAAGTGTCTTAGCTACTATGCTACCAGAGCTCCCAGGAAGACATTAGTCAAACATATTACAGATAACTCATCCAGGTTTACAGTGGGAGTTCCTTCTTCCTAGAGGGCACACCTGGGCTCAAGTGTTTGTCAGGCAAGCAAGTTAGGTAACAGGATTCTAGACAATGCACGGGAGGAACATGGGTAGATTCCAGTGGTTTGCTTTGACCAGGTCACAGTGTGGAGGGGATGCCTTGAGAGATGAGACAGGAGAGTCAGGCAAGAGCCTTATAGGTCATGCTAAGAAGCTTCGATACTTCCCTCTGCACAAGAGGAATCTCTGAAGGATTTTTCCGTCGGAGAGATTTTAAAAAGATGTCTTTGGATATTTTACAATGAAGTGAAGAAAGCAAAGACATGATTATTTCAGTTACCACTGAAGCTAGAGATTAAAAGAGCCTCCGCAGCTGTGTAGCCAGAGGAGCGGGGAAGGGAAGAAAGAGAAGTCTAGAAGTTGGACTAGACAAGATGATTAGTTTGGGGTGTGGATGGAGGTACAGAGCAGAGTGAGGAAGATGGTAGACAGAACTCCCATGTTTGTGAGAAGGGTGCCTATTGGGTTGGTTAACCTGGATGGGAGGCATACTGGAGCAGGAACTTTGCAGTAGGAGATTAGAACACAAGAACTGCATTTTGAACGTGATGCATTTAAAGTCTGTTACATAGGTAGAGCTCCACCTGACCTCTGAATATAATTGAGAATCCCTTGCTTGACTTCTGGGTGGAGATTTGAGGTCTTTTGCTTAGATGATTGATGGTTGAGGCCACAGCAGTGAAGTTGTCTAAAGTGAGAATATTTTGTCCAAAAATACGCTGCCTATTCCTTAAATGTCAGCACTTATCTATTTGGCCAAGGGACTGCGTTGTCAGAGAGAGAGAGAGGGAAATGGGAAAACTTGAAGAGCACAGGCAGCTTCAACGTGGCAGATTGATCGATCTCCACTCCTGCAGGCCCTGATGGCAGCCTGGGCCCTTAGTAACTCAGCCATGTAATGTTTCTTACCCTGGGTCAAAACCCTCCTTACTTCTGACCCCATCAGTTCCTGGTAGATTTCTTGACTCTGCTCCAGTGCTTCCAACTCTTTTGCTATCACAGGACAAGTTGCAAACAGTACTCTAGAGTAGCTATAATAACCTGCTTACTGGAATTCTTACTGTCCCAGACCCTGTGAGCTATCCTAGGGCCAAAGATTTAATTACTGTTTTGGCACACCATTTGTGAAGTTCTGGCTTAGACAGTCCTGTTTAAAGGTAGATTTGATAGATGAAGCACTGCATAATAGGGTGCTGTCTTTCCCTACCAGATCCAGCCCTGCTGGAGGATTAAGCTTCCTGCCCCACCGAAGCTGGCTTAGCCTTATGAACTGCTTTAGCTAAAGTGAATAAAGGGACATGTGCCACTTTGGAACAGAATCTTTATGAACCATTTCATGGTTCCACTAACTTGCTCTTTTCCCTTAGCCACAAGGCCAATGTATCAGAGACAGGGACTGTTCATTCCATCAGCCTTGATCCCGGAGGAAGATGATGTGAAGTGTCATAATTCACCCACCACAGACAAGAACACAAGTGAGAAATCAACCCTTATTGTAATAAACCACTGAAGTTGTGGGGTCAGGTTAGCGTAGCACAAACTAATAACAGCTGACTGCTGCAGCCAAGATCATCCCCGAACACAGAATACTATCATAGTCTATGAAGAACAGCCACAGGTTTCATCAGCAGTGGTATATTTTTTTAATGGGTTTCAGAATATAAGCTGCATAGCTTTTTAGAATAAAAAATAATGATGATATAACCTCAGATACATGCTTTAGGACACTTGGCTAAACAACAAACAATCTGTGTATCTTTGATAACCACCATAAAAGGGTGGCAAACTTCACAGTGTAATGTGATAACATACATGTAGAAATCACATCATGGTATATTGCCTACAAAAGAATATTCTGACAATGAAGACATTAAATAGAACACAGCACACAGTTTCAAGTGTTCAATCATTGCTTTCTGGCCAAGTGGAAGCTGTCTAGAAACCATAGATGTATTCTGCCTGGGAAAAGAAATAGATGTAGCTGTTTAGTTCTTCTAGCATTTCTTTTCAAGAATGAGGCTGGCTCAGTCCAGCTGGAAAGCAGTGTGAGGTATAATTTTCCCCTTAATGGTTAAGAAAAAAGAACTAAAGAAATAAATTACTACACAGAAGACAATGGCACTGAGAGAATGAAATAAACAGAGGGAAAAACATCTTTTCAGCATTGCATAGTCTCCAAAGCAGCAAATGTGGAAGAGGACACCGCAAAGCCACTTCATTATTACACAGCCCAAAGGTCATCTCCATTGATGACCTGGGCACCCATGACGTTTGGTTACTTTATGAGAACACACACGCCCGAAAGCTTCCTTTCATATCAAGTGTGATAAGAAGACATACAGCGCAAATACTCTGGCTGGGCCCTCACATGGCTTCCAGGATAGGCCAGAAGGTACTGAAGCTTGATACCTGCTGCAGCTGCTCCTTCCCTGCCCCAGAGGTCTGTTAGAAGAACCATGGCCTAGGCCAAGCGGGGAGCCATAGAGCTCCTGTAGGCTGTAAAATCTTGTTGTAGAAGAAAAATGAACAGTGCAAAAAAATATTTTGTAGCTGCTGAATGACTTTATAAATCACACAGTGTAATCCACATAGGAGCACTTGGGTAGAAAGTGTTCCATTTAATCCATGGTTCAAATAAAAAAGTCTCACTTTGGGCTGTGCTCTTCCTGTTCTACAGGTGGTCAGAGGTTGTCACCAACTCAAACCACTGCCTGAGAGCATCACTGAGTGTCTCAGGAAGCGCATTCACATCTCGAAGAATTACATAAAATGGGAACGGGAACTCTTCCATGTAAGATCGGATTTCAGGCATCTCTCCAGGTCCTTTAAATATTGGTACTTTAATGTCCAAGATAGAATCCTGTCAACAAAAGATGTTTTGAAATAAAAAGAAAAACGTCAGTGCCATTGGCAAGGTCTTCTATAACCTCTCTTGCTGACAGTTTTTAAATCTCCTGTGTCTCATTCCAGCACGAAACTAGTTGTTATTCACTAAGTCAAACAGCATTTTCAGAACTCTCAGTAAAGAGGAGGCAAAGCTCTTACAGGTTATCGAAGCTTTAATGTGCCACAAAGAGAGAAAGCTCCTCCTAGAACAGAACTGTCTGGGACATACACTGATGCTTCCAGCTGTGAGGCGCAGCCTGTTAAGGCCAAGTGAATGTGGAAAGGGCCCACTGACAAGGCTCCAATCAAAAACCAAACTCAACTGCCATCGAGTCAGTTTCAACTCATAGCAACCCCTCCTTGGTTTTCTGAGGCAGTATCTCTATGGGAACAGATTCCCAATCTTCCTTCTGAGGAGTGGCTGGTGGGTGTGAACCACCAATGATGCTGTATAAAGGTGAATTCTGGTCCTATAGTGGGAGTGAGCACTGAGTGGTGAAGAGGATGGTTTCTGGAGTCAGTCTGAATCTTGGCTCTACCTAACTCATTACTTACAATCTCTCTGTGCTGCTGTCCTTCATCTATACAGTGGGGATGATGATCCCCATCCCTACTTGTGGAGTTCTGTGGGGCAGTGGTTAAGCACTCAGCTGCTAACCAAAAGGTCAGCGGTTTGATCCCTACTTCACTGGTTTATTGTAAAGATTAAATGAGAAAATGCTTAGGAAGTGTCTGGAACAGTGCCTGACAGACTCTGCCTGTTAAGAGTTCTGTGTATGTTGGAGCAACCCAGGCCATATTTCAGATTTAAGAGGTTGAAGGAAGTCTCCACTTTATCCCCAGAACAGATGACTTTTAGCAGTCACTCACCCGTGAACTGGGATTGTCCAACACAACAAAAATGACAAAGATGTTAGCATTGCGGGCAGCCTGAACTGCTGCTAGGACTCTTTCTTTGCCTTCAAGGAAAAGACCACGTCCATCAGAGACCACCAGGAGGAGCTGAGAAGTTTCTATAGTAGAACATGAAAGGAAGGAAGAGAACAGAATAAACACCCATTTTTAACAACTCAAAACTACCCCAATTAAGACAAATTAGTATAGATTTCTCTGTACTACCCAAACCAAACATCTATGAACCTGACGTGTCTGGGTGCAAAGGGGGTCTTTGATTAGATCTATTGGTTAGAATGTGAGCCAGAGACAAGATTGTGAGGACAAAGGCATTCTAAGCTGCTGTCTATAAAGTAGGTATTCCCCAAAGTGCTTCAGGGAACATCAAATTATAACAACTTCACTCCAGAGCAGCATCTATGTCTATGTTGTGGTAGTGGTTGTTAGGTTTATGTCTATAAGCTACAAAAAAAAAAAAAAAAAAAAAAAACAGTACTGAGTAGTCCATTAGAAGAAAGTGCCCAAATCAGAAAACTGGAGTTGTGTCTTCTAACTTTTAGTCTCATGTAAGTTTCAGATTTTTGTCATTTCTTTGTACTTAATACCTGAAGTTAACTCATTTAAACAAAAATTTACATTAGAAAGGAATCATAAAAATAAAGCCAGCAAATAAAAAAACTTGTTTTAAACCATTTTCCTCTACAATGTTGCCACCTAAAGATTACAGTCCTGGGGGCTCTCACACTATTTATCTCAAGGTAGTTTAGCAAATGTTAAGAGCAGCGTCAATGACTTACTTCAAACAGGACATTTTTTCATGATGTAATCAGGACTAAGAGATTTTGAAAAACACTGGATAAAGAATTGGCGTGTGTAGCAGTTATGAGTCAACTTGGCTGGGCCTGGTTGAGTGGCTGGGCAGCTGGATGGAGTTATTCCCCATGGTGAGATTGGTAATCAACTCCATGGTGGAATCTACTGGAGCAGCTGAGTAGCTGCTTTAGGGATGTGGTCTGCTTCCAGTATAGAAGCAGCACCTTTGAGGAACGTCTCTAGCTTTTGGCATGTTTGATTCCTGCTTGTAGCTAAGTCACTGTTCAGCAGCCTGCCATGTTGTCTGCCGATCTTGGGACTGTTAATGGACTTGACTTAGTGGCCTGCCGTATGGTTTGGTAATTTTGGAACTATGCCATTTCACTTGTTGATCTTGGATTTGTCAGCCTCAGTAGCCAGCAGCTGCCTGAGTGAAAAGATGCTTCCAGCTTCAGTGGGCCAGGAGCAAGATGCAGAGCTGAAGCCCAAGGTCAAGGGGCCTTCACCGAGCCCCTAGAGCTGGCACTTTGAACTCAGGCATCTATCTTCCTAAACAGTAAGAGAATAAATCCCTGTTTGTTAAAGCCCCCATTTGTGGTATTTTCTGTTAGAGCAGCATGAAAAACCATAACAGTGTGTTTTAAGCCATAAATCTATTATGGCTGGATTATCTGGTTTTATATTATGTTCTTCTCTGCTTTCCTCTCTTACAAAAATAACACAGGACAGTATACTTGTTTGTACATACTTCATTCCTTTCTTTCACAACTCTGAACTTAATCTGGCACAGACTTAATTTTGACTCACAGTAACCCTTTAGGACAGAGCACAACTGCCTGATAAAGTTTCCAAGGCTATACATTTTTTCAGATGCAAAGTGCCCCATCTTTCTCCCATCAGCTGGTGGGTTTGAACCACTGACCTGCTGGTTAGAAGCCAAATGCTTTAACCACTACACCACCAAAGCTTCTCTATCAAATATATACTAGCTAATTACAAACTAGTTAATTAATGCCTAATTTCCACAGATTATTAGCCTCAAGAATATGTACCTAATAAAAAGTTTGGAATGAATGATTGAGTAGTAAAAATTTCATTGATGCTGAATACCTTGCCATCTCCTGTTTGTCTTTAATTAAAAACTGGTAGCAGTACAGTGGGATGAGGCAAACAGCCCAGGAATACAGACAACAGGAAAACACTTTATTAGCAACGAGGAAGGAATGCAGCTCACCTGGACTGATGTTCTGTGAGAGCTGCTGCGCAGCTGCAAACATGGTGGCTGAGGACTCTAGAAACTAAACCAGAGCCAGAAACAGACAATTAGGAAACTCTTTAATTCTCTCCTTGTTGTCACAGAGACAGAAATTACTTCTGACCCTTGAATGATTTTCACATAATCATCTCAAGACTATAGACAATTCAAGCTGTCCCTCCAGGCTACCTGCATGAAGGACGGAAGAGCCTTGTGTTGCCTGGCATTTAACCCTTGGCACTGGCATTCTGCAGCACAGACGAGACATATTTCCGGCATATATCCCACTTGTGCTCTGCAAGCCATCCCAAAGGAAAAGAATACTGCCCCAGGTGGGTGAGAACTCAATAACCTCCAAATGAGCCAAACTGCTGTCTTCTTTCAAGAAAAGAAAATATTTAAGTAAATAAAGCCAGTAAGAAAATCAAAATGTCCACTATGACCACCCAAAGAAAGGAGGCTAAATTAGAGCTGGAATCAGGAGGACAGAATTGTACCCCAGGCTCTTTTATGTCATCCTAAGCAAGTTCTTGGCTTTATTTCACATCATTTCTTCTCTAGACTAAATGGGGAAGAGAAATCCTCCTTGATCCACTAATAAGGGTATTAGGAGGTGGGTTTGTCTTTGCAAAATGTTCTAGGTGGCTCAGAAAAACAGGGAGTCTGATAATCAGTGATGCAAAATCAAATGCTTTTTGAAGAACTAAAAAAAAGAGACAACACTTTTTTAATAATAGATGCCAAGGAAGTTTCTATTCCAGTGGATCTTAGGCTGCAGTTTTAGGAATAGTCTGTTTTGTAAATTTTCCTTAAGACCATAGTGGGGGTGGGGAGAGTGCTAAAATTATTTCTCTTATACATCTCTTATACAGCTAAAGAATAATTACGTAGAACACATTTTGTCAGTATACCTGGGCAATCTTGGTTTTCTTCTGCTGGAATTTGCAAAACCGTAGAATCTGGGATCCCGAGTGATCACTGAACTGTTCATGGAATGGGTGTAACAGTTTTACAGACTCTCCAAAACTTGGGGGGCAAAAAACAAATACAATAGGAATTATTTTTTTCATGTGATCAAAATATTAAAAAAGCAGGGTTGGGAAAAGGTTTTTCACAGGATTAAAAGGCTCCCCTACCTGCACACTGCAATCTGACCCACTTCCAGGAGCGTTAGAGCATTTCCAATTACCGCCAAAGATTCAAACGCAAGCTGTGAAATAGAAGGTTGCAGGCTGAAGGAATTAGGACATCCTTTAGAGGATGCTAACCCAGTGCTCTCAACCTTTTTCCCATCAAGATTCCCCCAGAAAACATTTTATGTCGCACAGGGGAATAACCAACAAGGCTATTCACCACCAACCCAGCAGCTCTGGAGATCTGATTTGTAGTCTACTACCACAAATGTAGAAAACTCGAATCCATTTGAGTGCCCTTCCATATTCTGGTAGGAAAGATCTCTAGTATCATCCAATAAGAGTGAGACTGGAAAATTTGGTCCATAAATCAATATTTTTCTTTCCTTTTTAAATCTGCATAAAAAGTAACCTCTTCTAGGCATAAACAAATTTAAGACCAATCTAAAAATCATATATAGTAACATCAGGCTAAAGAATGATAATAAAAAACTTCATGACCACCTTCATAATCACAGCATTGTTTTAGATTTTAAACTTATCAAAAAAGAGATAATGACAACAATAATGGTGATGACAATAATTGTAGCAACTAACATCTACCAATACATACCAAGTGCTAAGCACCTTAGTGCTCCACTTGTATTATCTCATTTAAAATTCCCTTAAGAACTCTGTGAGTATAAGGTAGGCATTACCATAATCCTCATTTTTCTGAAAAAGAAACGGACACTTCAGAAGTAAATAAACTGCCCAAAGTTATAGAGAATTAAGTGGAGGGGCTGGAAATTGAACACAGGCTCAGAGGTTATAATCTAACCTTTTCCAAATGAACATATAAATTGTAGGCTGCTCATTGGCTTATGTTAGATAACAGCATCATTGCAAGGAACAGCAAATACTGTGCAGTGCTATAATGGTGGATTATAAGTAATCCTAATCAGGCTCCTAAACCTTATTAATAGTGATGGAACACTAACTCCAAATCGTACCAAAAAACACACAAAAACCTAAAATAACACTAACATACAGTGTTCACCACCACTAGTCAGTCAGTTTGTCATACTGTGGTGGCATCCACATTGCTGTGAGGCTGGAGCCTATGCCACTGGTATTTCAAATACCAGCAGGGTCACCCATGGTGGCCAGGTTTCAGTGGAGCTTCCAGACAAAGACAGACTCGGAAGAAGGAAGGAGCCATCCACTTCTCAAAAAACTGGCCACTGAAAACCTTATGAATAACAGTAAAACAAAGTCTGATGTAATGCTGAAAGGTAAGCCCCTCAGGTTGGAAGGCACTCAAAATAAGACTGGGGAAGAGCTGCCTCCTCAAAGTAGAGTTGACTTTAATGATGTGGATGTTATAAAGCTTTTGGGACCTCCATTTGCTGATGGGGCATGACTCAAAATGGGAAGAAATAGCTGCAAACATTCACTAATAACTGGACATGGAATGCATGAAGTATTAATCTAGGAAAATTGGAATTTGTCAAAAATGAAATGGAACAGATAAAGATAGATATCCTAATCATTAAAGAGCTGAAATGTTAGCCATTTTGAATTAGACAATAATGATCTACTCTGCTGGAAATGAAAGACTGAAGAGGAATGGCATTGCATTCACTATCAGAAAGAACATTTCAAGATTCATCCTGAAGTACACTGCTGTCAATGATAGGATAATACCCGTATACCTACAAGGAAGACTGGTTAATACTGCTGTTACTCAAATTTATGCACCAACCACTAAAGCCAAAGATGAGGATACTGAAGATTTTTACCAACTTCTGCAATCTGAAATTAACCAAACATGCAATCAAGATGTATTGATGGTAATTACTGGTAACCGGAATGAGAAAGCTGGAAACAAAGAAGAATCATCAGTAGCTGGAAAAGATGGACTTGGTAATAGAAATGATGCCAGAGATCACATGACAGAATTTTGTAAGACCAATGATTTATTCATTGGACATACCTTTTTTTAACAACACAAACAGCAGCTGTACACATGGACCCCACCAGATGGAATACAGAGAAATCAGATCGACTACATCTGTGGAAAGAGGCAATGGAGAAGCTCCATATCAGTTGAAAGTAGGGTAAGGAATGATTATGGAACAGACCATTTATTGCTCATACTCAAGTTCAAGTTGAAGTTGAAGAAAATGAAAATAAGTCCATGAGAGCCAAAATACAACCTTGATTATATCCCACCTGGATTTGGAGACCATCCAAGGAACAGATCTGACACACTGAATACCAGTGACCAAAGACCAGATGAGTTGTGGGATGACATCAAAAATATCATACATGAAGAAAGCAAATGGTTGTTAAAAAGACAATAAAGGAGGAAAAGACCAAAATGGATGTCAGAAAAGACTTTGAAACTTGCTCTTGAACACAGTGAATGGAAGAAATGCTGAAACATATTAGAAGAGATGTTGAATAGAAGATTTCAAAGGGCATCTCAAGAAGACGAAGTCAAGCATTATAATGAAATGTGCAAAGACCTGGAATTGGAAAACAAAAAGGGAAAAATATGCTTGGCATTTCTCAAGCTGAAAGAACTGAAGAAAAAAATTGAAGCAAAATATTGAATGATGCAGGAAGCATCAAAAGAAGATGGAAGGAACACACAGAGTCACTGTATCAAAAAGCACTTGTGACATTCAACCATTTCAGGAAGTAGCATATGATTAAGAATCAATGGTACCAAAGAAAGTAGTCCAAGCTACACTGAAAGAATTGGCAAAAAAAAGCAAGGCTCCAGGAATTGAAGAAATACCCACTAAGATGTTTCAACAAATGCATGCAGCCTGGAGGCACTTACTCGTTTATGCCAAGAAATTTGGAAGACAGCAACCTGGCCAACTGACTGGAAGAGATCCGTATTTGTGCCCATTCCAAAGAAAGGTGATCCAACAGAATGTGGACATTATGGAACAATATCATTAATATCACATGAAAATGAAATTTTGCTGAAGATAATTCAAAAACAATTGCAGCATGCACGGACAGGTTGAACTATTAGATATGTCTATGCAGGGGGGAACGTGCTCATGACCACGTATAAGGTTGGCAGACAATGTTCCTACAAGTATATTTGTAAAGGGACAAGGCTGTAATCACTTGTTGGCCACAGCCAGCTACCCAGAGGGAGCGAGCAGTTGGAAGTGTGGGCTCAGGACCACGGTCACAGGGGACATCAGGCTCAACTGGCGTAACATATTACACAAAAATACCGTTCCACATCCTACTTTGGCAAGTAGCAAACTGGGATCTTAAAAGCTTGCAAGCAGCCATCTAGATGCAATGATGGATCTCTCCTCATCCAAAGCAAAGAATAATAAACCAGATGCACAGAAACAATTAGTCCAAGTGACTGGTACACCATGTGATCCTCAGCCTATATGACTATGAGACCAGAACTAGATGGTGCCCGACTACCATCAACCAGTTGGATGGGAATCTATGTAGGAGATTCTGGATAGAGTGGGAGAACAATGTAGAACAAAACTCAAAATCATTTAAAGAAAAAAAAAAAAAAATGACCAGGTTTGCTGGTCTGCTAGAGCCTGGTGGAACCCCTGAGACTATGGCCCCTAGCTGCCCTTTAGGTGTGGAATCGAACCCACTCCTGTGGCTTCCAGCCAAACAAAAAACAGGCGTATGAGCTCAACACTACACACTAGGTAGAGACACTCCTTGGAGAAATCAATCAAGGAAGAATAGAAGGGCTGTGTGTCCACAGGGAGATAGCTCGGAGGGCAGGAGAGTGCACATGGGAGGGAAGGACACAGGGAAGAGGTAACTATAGGGAGGTAGTGTGCATTATGAGAAACTGCAGTCAATGTCATGAGACAAAGTATGTGAAGCTGTATGGAAAATGAATTTGCTCTGTGAACTTTCACCCAAATCACAATAGCAGAGGAAAAAAAAAAAAAAAGTTGCAGCAGTATATTGATAGGGAACTTCCAGAAATGCAAGCTGGATTCAGAAGAGGATGTGGAATGAGGGATGTCACTGCTGATGTCACATGGACCTTGGTTGAAAGCAAAGAATACCAGAAAGATGTCTGTCTTTTATTGAATATGCAAAGGCATTAAACTGTGTGGATCATAACAAATTATGGGTAATTTTGTGAAGAATGGGAATTTCAGAACAGTTAATTATTCTCATGAGGAACCTGTACATAGACCAAGAGGCAGTCATTCGAACATTACAAGAGGGTACTGTTTGGTTTAAAATCAGGAAAGATTACACCATGGTTGTATCCTTTCACCAAATTTGTTCAATCTGTATGCTGAACAAATAATCTGAGAAGCTGGACTACATGAAGAAGAACACGACATCAGGAGTGGAGGAAGACTCATTAACAACCTGTGATACGGAGACAACACAACCTTTCTTGCTGCAAGTGAAGATGACTTAAAGCACTTACTGATGAAGATCAAAGACTACCGCCCTCCAGTATGGATTACACCTCAACATAAAGGCAACAAAAATCCTCACAACTGGACCAATAATAAATATCATGATAAATGAAGAAAAGACTGAAGTTGTCATGGATTTCATTTCACTTGGGTCCACAATCAACACCCATGGAAGGAGTAGTCAAGAAATCAGATAACATTTCACTGGACAAGTCTGCTACAAAAGACCTCTTTAAAATGCTGAAGAGCAAAGATGTAACTTTAAAGACTAAGGTGTACCTGACTCAAGCCATGATTTTTTCAATAGCTTTATATGCATGTGAAAGGTGGACAACGCATAAGGAATACCAAAGAAGAGTTGATGCCTTTGAATTGTGGGGATGGCAAAGAATAATGAAAATACCATGGTCTGCTAGAAAAATGAACAAATCTGTCCCAGAAGTGCAGCTGGAATGCTTAAAAGGGAGAATGGGTAGACTTCATCTGACCTACTTTGGTCATGCTGTCAAAAAGGACCAGTCCCTGGAAAAGCCTATCACACTTAGTAAAATGGAGTCAGAAAGGGGGAAGCCCCTCAACAAGATAGACTAACACAGTAGTGCAGTGATGGGTTCAGGCACAGCAAGGACTGTGAGGATGGTGCAGGACCAGGCAGTGTTTCCTTCTGTTCTACACAGGGTTGCTTTGAGTCAGAGCCAACTCGATGGCACCTAACAACAAGAAGATAGTGTTCACCAACACAGTTCAAAGCTTGATGCTGAGATGATGAGTGTAGTTCCCAGGGAAGGACCTTGGCAACACCACTCTCAGTGCTTGGGATGTGCACTGCCTCTTTAATGGCTCACTGAAAAAAGAACACTGAATGCAAGCCTTTGCCATTTTCATAAAAGTGAAATCCTCTTTGGACTTTTGAAAAGCAGGAGGTACCACTGTTATTTTTTTCATAGTCTTAAAAAATAGTTTAATAATGGGGCTGTATTTTGCATTTTATGGAAAATAAACATGTACTTTGTTCTGCAACTACACAATAGCATTACCAGAGTTAAGAAACAAAGCAATAATTTAAAAGGCCTGTAACAGTTAGGGAACAAATATTTGAGGAATCCTGAAACTGTCTCTCCTGAACGCTTTTTTAATTTTAATTCTTTTCAAAACATGGTGCCACGTTCTCAGAACAGGTGAATAGGTATTTCAAAGGTGTTTTTTTCTTTTTTGCCAAATCATATTTAAAACATTTAAGTTACCTATAAAAAATGGTTTGGCATTAATTTCTCATCAGATTGCTACTGTATTTCTCTACTTTACCTGTTTGGTATGGTTGTCTACCATGCTGGCAGAGTCATCGATGGCCAAACAAATCTGATACTGACGTTTACTGGGCTTAGTCCTTCGAAGCCAAATCTTGTCTTTCCGAAATTGACTGGCAATATATGGAATGACCTTCCGCATGTTCAGACGTTTCCCAGTTCGATAGTCTCCTCTATTAAATTTACCCACAAAGAAGCAAAGATCAGTTAAAAAAACATTAATAATACCTTGTAAGCATAATCAAATAACCAGCAACCTGGCATAATAAGTGTTACCATCCACTTAGATCAAGAATCAGTCAGAAAAACTGGACACGTGTGTGGTGATAGTACCAGAAGAAACCAAACGCACTGCTGTCGAGTTCGATCCGACTCACAGAGACCCCTCCTTGGGTTTCTGAGGCAGTATCACTACGGAAGTAGAATGCCCAACCCTCCTTCCGAGGAGTGGCTGGTGGGTTTGAACTGTCAGCCTTCTGGTTAGCAGCCAAATGCCTTAGGCACTACACTATCAGTGCCTCCAGAAAAGCTAAGACAATAAAAACTTCAGAAAAACATGTCTGCATTAGTATTACATCTTGGATTCTCTTTTCTGTTCTAAAACAATGATTCTACACACATATTTGAAAAGACCGAGGTGATTAGCACATGCAGCAAGTACACTCTGAAGATGTATGGGAAGAGTCTGCCAATTTCCCATCAGGTATTAATGAATAAAAGAAACTTCATATATACCAAAAGTCACAGAAATGTTTGTGGTAGAAATAACAAGACAAAAACAGGGCGAGGAACACTATACTGGTGCCTCTGTGGCAGAGGTGGCAACACAGAATCTAGTACTATAAATGATTAGGTACTAAGCTTGGCAGAACTGGCAACACCGTGATCTTTTCAAGGCACTGTGAGTGTGCTCATTGGAGAAGGCTTACTTCAGCTTGGCTGCCTGAGTAGGCTCTAAAATGAGACGAAGCTGTTCACACAATTGTTGTGAAAGAGGCGCAGTTAAGGCCAGATAACTCTGCCACATCTCAGCTGCAGCCTTCTCCTGTGACAACAACAAAAATACAAGTTAATCTTATAATATCAGGGCAAACCAAAGTCATTACACCAATATGAGAGCCTCAAAAAGCTGATGCGAAATGGATGCTGTAAAGTGCTTCCACAAGTCATTTTCTACTCCTTTGCGTCAAACCCTCATCTTGGTGTTAAAACCACACCCCACATTTCCAAGTGATAAGGAATGAAACAACATACAGTAAAATATTAGAACTCCTGACAAAATAAATGCTTTATTTACATTTTCTACAAAGAGTACAATAAATCTAGTAAGTCAAATAGGGAGGGAGATGTGAATGGGTAATTTATAGATCCAGCCACTTAATCATGATGCCACAGAGCCAAGTTTCCAAAAGCAAAGTTGACAAGTGAGTGCAATTAGTTTGAGTAACAACTCAATTGTGTGCTTATTTCCTGGTCACAATTTTTCTGCCAGCTGTGGTGGAGCAATCAATACACATATTCTACATACATTCTACAGGTTTATTAGGATAAACTACACCCTGCCCTCTTTTCTCCTCTTCAGATCTGCCTTCAGCTCCACTCTTAATTTTTCTGGTTAATCTACACACTTTGTGAAAGTCAGCCAACCATGATCCAGGTGGCCTGATCTGAGGAGGATACAGGACAAACTTCTTTTTTTTCATTTATTCAAGCAAATTTTTAATTTTTTAAAAATTTTTACAGTGTTCCTTCCCCTTCCCTCCCACCCCCATAACCAACAGAGGACAGACTTTTGCTGCTTTCTCCTCCTCCCTTAAGTGGCTGTCTGGTTTTCCAATCCGTCACACATCTATTCTCACATCCATTACAACCATTGTAAGAGCCAGCAACAAAAGTTAAAGGAACTAAACACATCAGGCTCTGTTTTAATTAAGCTACAGATGTAGAGATAAAGCAGCAGAAAGCTATGGTAGATTCAGGCTGTAGGGTTTTAATTATGTTCTCCATATACCCACATCTAAGAACCTCAGTTTATCTTTTTTTTTTTTTTTTTTTAAAAAAAAAAAGCTATTTTATGAAAAACCAGTGACTTACTTCTTCTAGGTTTCCAGATTCATGTGGCTGCCATGTCTCCAGCTGTCTTTCCAACTCTTGCCTTAGCTTACTGGCATCTTTTAAAAAAGGCTAAGAAGAGTAAGTCACAGATGAGATGGGGCCCAAATTGGTGTCGCCCACTCAGCATCACTGGCTGTTTCCTTCCCCATGGGGTGAGTCCCAAGTATATAGCCAAATGCTTAGAACTTCGACAAATTTAATGTCACAAAGAGAAGATGCCAGAGAACCATTCTTCTTCTCATGGAGAAACAATATGAGTAAAGCAAACCTCTTATATGTAATAAATCACCCCAGCAAAACAAAAACAAACAAAATACTCATGAAGACATAAATACTGTTCTTTGATTAATCCAGACTGCCACAGTTAAACTACTAGGGCAAAGAACTTAGTTATATTGCTCTTCCTAAATGCTGGTATTACTTAACCATTATAAACAGTTAATTTTCATCAAGACTCCACACACAAGAACAGTCTCCAGCAAAATGAGTGGATATAAGAATGGGATGCCAGGGGACCAGCTGCATCAGGACACTGACCACCCCTCACTGCATACCTAGGGTTTGTGGGAACAGTGTCATCTGCTTAGAGAACACCTGTTACACCATAACTCATTTTTTTAAAACCCCACTGCCATAAAGCCAATTCCAACTCATGGTAACCCTACAGGACAGCAGACCTGCCCAATAGTACTCCTAAAAATTCTGATAAGGACATTATGCCCTGCAACAACTAGATGGTTGACAAAATTCTAAACAAAAAGGTTTAAAAAGCAATTTAAAATTATATTTTGTCAACTTATTGAAGCAGTAATTGTGTAAGTTCTAGTACCTGGGGAACCATGTCCATCAAGAACTGATGGGCTGTATGAATGGTCGAGTCTCTGCTTCTCTCAGGTTTCTCATTCTCTGTCTCCCTGAAGGATTTGTCTGTCCTGGAGTCTTGGTCTTCCTCTGTTTTAATGGTTTGGATCTCCATCTCCATCTCATCAAAGCCTATTTCATACATATATATAGTTTTACTTACTATAACATTAACATAAAAACCAAGTCTTCTCTATTTCCTGTCAGTCTTAGTCAATTGGTAACTGATCAAACTGCGTGCTTACTACCTAATATATTTTCCACAGTGATTCTACATGTTTCCTTAAGACAGCCATTGCTGATCCTTACTCCCTTAGCTCTCTCTCCTCCTCACCCTCATGTGGAGCTGAAGATAGATCTGAGGAGGAGAAAAGAGGGCAGGGTGTAGTTTATCCTAATAAACCTGTACAATAAGCCTATGATTCTTTAAGCTATGTGAATACATAAAAATAAAAACTAACAAATAAAACTATAGGTCCATTTTATGAATAATGAAACTGAGTCAAAGAAAAGATAAATAATTCACCTCAGTCTATGAGGCAAAGTCAGTAAGAGGCAAAGCCTGGATTTGAATCTGGGGCTAACCACAGAGCTATTTCCCTTGTCACAGAATGGCAGATGGCCAACTGTGTCAATACCCCTGAGAGAGAAGAATGGGACAGAAGAAAAAGCCTTTGAATTTGGCAAGTATTTTTTGCATTTACATCAATGAAAATAAGGCTAATTTTTAGAGTGTTGAATTCATGTCTATTTCTCTAATAAACCGCCTAGTAATAGCATTTGATCAACTATGAAACAGAAACTGGATATAAGATGTTTTGTTACTTTCCACATACATTTTCCCCATCCTATTTCTTTTAATATTTTATGCTAATACTTTGTATACTTTTATGTAACAGAAAACATTTTCTTTAAGAATATATTTCTAATCATAAAGAATGTATCTTCTTATCACAGCTGGGATAAATGTACTATTCTGTTTTCTTCTATGTATTTTACAAAGACTGATGGATTTTGTCTGAAACTCAAGTTTCAGAAGCTTCCTCGAAGGATGGAGTCTAGCAATACCACTCTAATGCCTGCTACTCCACACTTTTGTGCTTCTACACAAAAGCAGTGAACTCTGATACTCTGTTTAGATTAAAAGAAAACACTAAGACTTGTAATCACTAGAATGAAATACACCTAAGCCCTGGGTTAGGACAGACAAGACAGACTACAGGACAAGAGAACTGACTTCTTTAGGTCTGAGCTAGGAGGGATTCGTTGAGCAGTAGGACTCACCAGGGCCAGCTGTGGTCCTGGGTTTGACCTCCTCTGGCTTCAGCTGCTCTGAGTCTACTGCTTTGAGCTCCTCCTGTTCCTGTAAGTCCATGAGGGCATCCTCTATCTCCTCCTCTTCCTGATCCTTGCTGGGAGCTTTTGTAGACTGCTGCTGCTCCTTGCTGGCCACATCTGCCAAGAAAACACACATACAACTTAGGTCTTTGCAGAAAAAAGTAATGATGGGTGAGCTAAGGTTTCTGTCATTTCTAGTTCCCAATATTCTACTACTGCCAGTTCTGCCACTGACCAGTGAGGTGGCTTGGACAATGCTTGGCTTGTTTGCCCAAGATTTCCATTGACCAACTGATATAACTGCCCATTCCCTAACTTCCACAGAAGGTAAGAGGATAAAGTGTAATATAAATGTGACAGGATTACAGAAATAGGATGATTAACTGGGTATTGTTATGGCCAAAAGAGTGAACCAGAGTAAACAGTCTGGGAACATGACTAAGAGCAGTTAAAGAACAGTATCCTCCATTACCAACCTGTGAATCCTAGCTTTGTGGTCTTAGACAAGTTCTTACACTGCTTTGGCTTAAGTGTGCCTCTCTGCAAAACTGAGACAGTCTAGCTCACAAGATTACTGGAGGAATTACAAATTCAGAAAGCAAGGGCTCAGCACAGTTTTTGTCACAATGTAAAAGCTCAACATGGTAGCTATTATAATTGTTGCTTGTATTTTTTTAAAAAGTGGAAAGGGGAAAGGAAAAAAGTAATCCCTCTATATGAGGTTGATATTATCAACAAACCTTTACATATGAGGAATGAAACTGTGCAAAGTCATCAAGAGAACTAGGAAGGCAGACTGACTGACAACTACTACTTATCTTCTTGCACTGACATTTTTTTTGAAGGCTGGCAGTTCAAACCCACCAGCCTCTCCTTGGAAGGAAGACTGGGCGATCCACTTCCATAGTAATACCACCTCGGAATCCCAAGGAGGGGTCGCTATGAGTTGGATCCGATTCGATGGTAGAAAGTTTGGTTTTTGGTTTCACTTACAGGGAAAAACAAAATGTTTCATGTATATAGCTCCTGCCCCTTCAGAGACTCACTTGGAGGTGACTATGAAGAAATGTCTAGTACTAAGGAACCCAGAGATTGGTACTGGGTTTGGATGTGGCCAACTAGTAAAACCAAATCCCTTGAGCATTTACACTTTGATATGGATACTTCAAGGGTGGGTGGTGTAGTGATTAAGGCATTTGGTTGCTAATCAAAAGGTCAGCGGTTTGAACCCACCAGCTGCTCTGCAGAAGAAAGATGAGGCAGTCTGTTTCTGTAAAGATTTAAAGCACTGGAAACCCAATGAGGGTCACGATGAGTCAGAATCAACTTCATGGCAGTTAGTTTGGTTTTTGGTTTTATGGATACTTCATAGCAAAACCAAATTGTATTTCTGCATATATCTTATTAGAAAATAATTTAAAAACCCACTTCCTCTCGCTCCTATTAAGAAAGTCTGTAATAATGTCCCGCAGGCACATAATCACACTGCATAGTACCATAGGTCTGTGTGTCGTAAGAGTCACTCCCTTGCTGAATGTGCTCAAATGCATCCGCTTCCTCCACCTGGGCCTGGGGCTGGGCTGGGCCCTGCTCAGCATGGCTCTCTGAATCCACGGTCTTCAGCCTCTTATGCACATGCTCATTGTGATCACCCATGGAGCGCTCATTGTCAGCCTGCCCAGGTTTTCTCTTAAAACTCTGTGGGCAATATAAGGAAACTCTTCAGAGCCTTGTCTCTGGTAGCAAAAGACTAAAGATAACCTGGTGTCCATCCATCAGGGACTGGTCAAATAAATTAGATATAGTCATTAAAGTGGGTAATATAATTCAGCTATTAAAAAGAATGGCACAGATCTATAATCACACAAAACAATCTCCATGGCATACTTTTATGTCTGAAATAAAGGCAAGAAAGGAAAGAAACACACACTCACACACATATGTACATACACATTTACATTCACACATATGTTACATATGCAGGAAATATCGCTAGAAGAAAACCCAGAGAACTGGTAACATCAATTTGCACTGGCAGGTTTCTTTGGGTGGCTGGGGGACAGGGGTGTGAGGGAGGATTTTCAGCAAACAAGTTTTAACACACTAAGCTTGTATCATATGCACAAATTAACACCATTCAAAAAACTTAAGTTTTAAAAAGCAGAACACTATGGGCAGTGAAGAGACTAAGACTGGTGGTGCCAGGCAGCAGCACAGAGCTCCTGGCTCATGGGCTCTGTAACAGGAACATGGGACTGCAGGAAGTAAGTCCCAGAGATGGGTTCTGAGAAAAGCCCCCAAAGTCTGGTTCTGCTCACTAAGGCTACCTGCCTGGTGGGATAGGAAAGGCCAGAAGGTTGGCATTTTTATCACTATCTTTGCAGCATCTGTTTCTACACACAGCCTTCATCAATTTTAGCTGAGAGTGACGAACCTGCGTGTTTTTCCTGGTGTGCTTCTGAGAGGCCAACCGAGCAATGAAGTTGGATTCATGGCCTTCCGCCTGGTTTGCATCTGCAGCTCCACTCCCATGTTCCTATGAAATGCCAACCAAAGAAAATGAGGGTGGAGAAAGGTAATCCAAGCACCTGGTTACTGTGCCACATGGCTCCCAACTTCTCCCACCATTACTTTCATCTCAGAGTCACATGACCATGCCTGCCTACCCATTTGCTGTGGAACTCCAGCACGGTCAAGACCTGGCCTGTGGGCAGACACAGCAAACCTGGGTGGAGAGCTTGGGCTACAGTACCCACTTGGGTGCCCTTGCTTTCCACAGCTGATTAGTTTCTGTTAACAAAAGTGTAATGGCTTGTTGGAAGACAGGACAGACCTCAATTTGAAACCAAGCTTCATTATCAACCAGTACACTCTTAAGATTTTCACTTACCTTAATCTTATTTTCCTCAAATATAAAATGAAAAAAAAACAGTAACAATATCATCTATTCCATAAAGCTTCGTGAGAACTTATTGAAGCAATGAAAATGCTTAGCATTTAATAGCTGCTCAATAAACGGTGATGGCATTGGTAGAAGTATAAAAACCAAACCTACTGCCACTGAGTCAACTCCAACTCACAGTAACCCCGTAAGACAGAACAGAACTGCCCCACAAGGTTTCTAAGGCTGTAAATCTTTATGGAAGCAGACTGCCACATCTTTCTCCCATGGAGAGGCTGGTGGGTTCAAACTGTTGACCTTTTGGTCAGCAGCTGAACCCTTAACACTGCATCACCAGGGTTCCTTAGAGGCTGTGAGTTACTCAGAGCCATTGCTGTCACTAGCAGTTCTGTAACTGCACATGCTTTCAGTAACATTCCAGCGGCCTGAATTGTGGGTGTATACACAACACACCAGGTAAAGGGGCAGAGAAGTGCTGGGAAAAGGAAAGCACTAGGAAAGGCGTAGAGCCACAAGAAGCCTACATTCTTTCTCCCATCCCTTGGAAGCTTTCTGAAAAATAGCTCTCGATGTGAACCTGGGTCAAGCTATCAGTCTAGTATAACTATTTCTTATAAGGCACATCATTTACATACTACCTATAGCACACAGTCTATGATTTGTCCTGGGAGGCATACAAAAAAGGTATCAATCATTTATCAAAAAACAGAAGGTAATCTTTTAGATGTCAGGAACAAAATAAATAAACAAAAAATTCTATACATAGTAAACCCAACCCATGGCTGTCAAGTCAATTCTGATTTATAGTGACACTCCAGTACAGAAAAGAACTGCCCCACAGGGTTTACAAAGCTGTAGATCTTTACAGAAGCAGATTTCATCTTTCTCTTGCAGACAGCTGGTGGGTTCAAACCACCAACCTTTCAGTTAATAGGCAAACACTTAACCACTGTGTCACCAGGGCTCCTTAACCTATAAACCAACCACTGTTAAACAGAATATAACTTCAAAGAAAAGAGACCCTCAAAAGAGGCCGCTGGCCCAGCATGGAGGACTAATCACCTCCTTCCCCTTTTCCTTCTCAGGTGCGGCCCCGGCCAGCTCCACGGCCTGCTCGCTCTGCACGTTCTCTTCTCCGGTCTGCCCGCAGCACTCATGCTCTTTCCTTTCTGGAGCCTCAGGCACCTGCTCCTCTGCATCAGGGTCCTCCTCTTCTATTTCCTGCTTGTTCGGGGAAATCAAACACAGCTTTGAATGCTGGGAGAAGGGCATGAATTGGGGCCTGCACAGGACTCTTTATCTAGAGCTGTTTCGGGGAGGGGATCAGGCAGAGAGGGCCATATGTGAAGCCTCAGAACTCCTCATCAGAATCTCCAGGTGATGGAGAAGTAGCCTAACAGAAATGCTAGTGGGACAAGGTAATTCTCCTCCTCGTTATAATTTTTGAGATTAAGACAAACCAGACTCCCATAATACCTGAGGCTGAAGACCTTGGTCAGCAGGTGTGCCATTTTCTAAGCTATCTGCATTTGCATCTTTGTCCTTTTGCTCTGCAGGCTGCTCTTCCTCCTCGAGGTTTTCTTCGGTATGTTCAGCAGTATCTTTGTCCTGGTCATCAGCTCCAATGTCCATCTCTTCCTCCCCTTCCACCTTGTCATCTTCACTGGGGCCTTCCTCAGGCTCATGCTGATCTTGACCTTCACTCTGTTCAGCCTCAGCTTCTTCGTTTATTTCCTCAGCTTCATGACCTGCTTCTTCTGTATTCATTGGCTTTTCTTTTATCTCCAAAGGATTCTCTTCTGGACAGATACAACAAAAAGAAGGAAAAGACAATTTTAAAAGCCAGCAATGTAATCTCTTAAGTGAGTTACACAAGTGATTTGTTACTATTATTCTCCAAACCAGGGGCTGGCCAAGTATTGCCCGCAGGCCATATCTGGTGCTCTGTTTTTTTCTGTGAATAGAATCTCATCAGCACACAACCGCGTCCATGTTTACATATTAGCTACCGCTGCTTCCACACAGTACAACAGCAGAATTGAGTAGCTGTGTCAGAGACCTGATGGCTGGCAAAGCCTGAAGTATTTATCCACCTCTTTACAGAAAAAAATTGTCTACCCTTGTTCTAAACCATGTCATAAAAAAAGTAAACAGAAAAAAAAAAAAAAAAGCAACTGTAAAACAATAAACCACACGACAGAAAATAATTTAACTAAAGATAGAAAATGATAGTCTAATTTCAATTATCACTGCAAATAATCAGGGGCATCTTATTGCCTAGAGAAAATAGAACCTACTCTTCTGGATCCTTCAGAAATCAAAGTTACTTTCTGAGCAAATAATTCTTTAAAATAACTGCTCCTTAGTTTATTTACACAATTAAAATAGTTCTGAAAGTTTTCCCAGGGCAGAAAGCTTATTACACTCTAAGTGGATTTTAATTTTAAGTATATACACTCGTTTGCTTGTTTAATTGAAGGTTGAAGTTAATGTCTTATGGAAGTAAATAAAATATACTGGCATGAGTCTCCAAAATTAAAAGGTAATGAAATGGCACATCAGAAGCAACAAAGTATAGTATGTTTAAAAAGTATACTATAAATCCCAGAGGGGAGACTGTTCTAAGCATAAGAAAAACCTGTATCAGCTCTCGTGGCGTAGTGCCTGAGGCATTTGACTGCTAATCAGAAGGCTGGCAGTTCAAACCCAACAGCCACTTCTCAGAAAGAAGATTGGGCAATCTACTTCTGTAAAGAACCCCAAGGACGGGTTGCTATGAGTTGGAGTCAACTCGACGGCAATGAGTTTGGTTTGTTTTTTTATATCAAATCATTAACCCAATAGTTCTGGTTAAACAGTAAACATAGACAAATTTATTTTTAATTACTAAATAATTCAAATATGGAAAAATTCTTTTTATATAAAAGATGATTTCCATGTACCTACCCCCTTAATTTAACAGATGTTAATATTTTACCATATTTACATCCAATTTCTGTCATGTTCTTAAGAAATAAATGGTTCCAGATTGCAGTTGCCTGGAGGCCGGAAGCCCTCCTCCCTTCCGACCTCCTCCAAGGTCACCATAACCAGAAGTTGTGTACTACTCCTTTGCATGTTTTTATACATTTGATGTAGCCATAAATAATATATAGTGTTGTCTCTTGTACTAAATTTTTATATAAATGGGATCTCTTATTTATGACCTCCTTAACATAGTGTTTTTTTGTTTTTCTAAAAATTTTAAAGAGCTTTTCCAAATATGTAACTTGGATACACTGAGCTAAGCACAGTTACGCTCTAGCTCCAACCTTTCTGTCTAGTTAACCACCACGAAGGTGAGCCCTCTATCACAGGGGCATCTCCTACAAACTGCTTCCAACTAATACCATGTGGCAATCCCTCAGACAGTCATGTGCCTAAAGAATGGGTGAGTGTGCCACTAGATTACTATGGGCCATATGATGCTCTTAGGATTATTCAGTTTCATGCCCCATTACAATGACTTCATATTCCAGAAAAAATATACAACTTAAGAACAACATCTGCAATAAGTGAAACATTTAAGGCTAACTAAATCCTTAAAACCCCATTACTAGGCCCCATATGAGGCCTATGTAAACACAGATTGTACCATGTTCACATCAACCCCTGTAACGGCTATAGAAGACTGAGGTGTTTGTGTGATGAGGTACCACCAGGACACAGCAGTGCCAAACACAGGGAAGAAACAAGAGTAGTGAGAGATACCTGCTGTTATGAGCTTGAGGCCTACTCAGATGAAAAACTACAATATATTTTCTAAACTGTAAATGAGCTGACAAGATTTATCAGCTGGCCATGACAACTAGGCTAGCTGACAAGAAATCAGTTACTGCTCATTTTCAATGAGTTACAATTTGTCCTTTCAGGTTTCTGAAAGATGTACCTTCTCCATCTTCATTGTCTGTGTCCTCATCACCATTCTTGTTTTCATTATCCAGTTTCAAGTCATCTGGAAGGTCCAAAGCCTCAGGTTCTGGCAGTTTTTCCTGATTGCCATGGTAAGGGTCTACTTCATTCTCATCATATTCTCTCTTTGAGGAAAGAGAAAGAATAGGATAAAAGTAAAACTTTTTTTAAAAAAGTAACATTCTAATATTTAGCTCTGAGTAGTTACAGTATACTAAGTAAATACAATGTTTCTTCTCTAAATTACCACCACACATTAGTATTTTAGTAAAATTAAAAATATATATAAAAAAGAAAAAACAAAACTCACTGGCATTGAGTTGAATCCAACTCATAGTGACCCTGCCTTGGGTTTCCAAGGCACTATCTCTACAGCAATAGATTACCCAGTCTTCCTTCCAAGGACTGGCTGATAGGTTTGAACCGCCAGCCTTCTGGTTAACAGTCAAATGCCTTAGGCATTATGCTACTAGAGCTCCCTCCAAAAATATATATATGTACACACACATGCATATATATATATATTATACACACACACATGCACATATATGTATTTATAATTGTGATTTGGGTGGAAGTTTACAAATTGGTTTTCCATTCAATAATTCATATACAGTTTGTTTTTTGACCTTTCATGTTCATATTTAAAATTTTACTTTTTGTGCCAGTTCTCCAATAAGAAGTACTATGTCACTTCACCTCAAAAAAGAAACAGAAGCTTATGAGAAGAAATATAGAAAAGGATCTTGGGTTTTAGATTCTAAACTATACCATGAGTCCAAATAGCATGAAGACTCCACTTTGTCAGTAACTAATAGTAAGATATTTTATGTCCTGTTAAGAACCTCTTTTACACATTCCTGAATAGGGAACAGAATAATAATCCCTGAATAGAAAAAAAATGTAACTGGAGTCATGGCAGAGACAAATGTATGATTTATTGCTGGTTTTACTGATAGCGTCAATACTCATAATCAAGGCAAATACAATTCTCAGGAATATCAAGAAAACACCCGGTGGAATCTACATGAGGCTATTATGTACCTAACACCTAAGAGATGGTCTAAATATATCATAAATGGTACCATTTTCAAGTATTGATGCCAAATGAAAACAGGAGACAGCATGGTCTCTGCTCAGAGTCCAAGGCAGCCCTGCCACAAGGCCCTGTTTCATGAGACAAGATTCATATTGTCTTCTGCCTTGAGACACCCAGGAGCTGGGCAGTGCAGCAGCCCCAGCCTTGAACCAGGGGAGCAGACTGATATCAAATCTCATTACCTCATCTATTTGTTCATTAATTTTGTCTTGGCCTTGTTCACCATCATCAGCTTCTGTTGCTTCTTTTTCTTCTTTCTTATTTGGCTGTTTTTTATCTTTGTTTGAATTCCCAGCATTCAAATTGTCATCTTTGGCAACAAGTTCAGGATCTTCCTAAATGTCAGAGGATGAAACAACACAAAATCATCACACTCAATCACAGAAATTGATTTTACATAAGTAGACTCTGCCTAGTGCAGCCCTCAGACATATATAATTTCTGCCTTCTTGGTCTATCTCATGGAGGTATCCAGGTGACAGGGTGCAGCCCATAACCTAGAGAGAAGAGTCTCAGTCTGTCCAGATAGCAGCAGTGATGGCAGTGTGCCAACAATGGGATGGGTCTGATAATTCACTGTATTATGCTGGGCTGCTGTAGTCTTACACCTAATCCCACAGTCCCCTATGCTGGCAGCTGGAGGAGGTCAGCAGCCAACAGCAGACTCAACTCAGGCATCTGTACTGAGTCTTCTTAACCTCCCTCTTCAAACACACAAGGGATGGGCCAGGTCAGACTACTGTTTTACTCTAAAGACACAGAAGACAAAAGAAAATGGTATAGAAAAGAGTTCCTCAAGGAAAATCTAGGGGCAAATTTAAGGGCCCTAATATATGGCATAAACAGACTATACAATAGCCAAAAGATGGAAACAACCTAGGTGTCCATCAACTGAGGAATGGATAACCAAACTATGGTACATACACACAATGGAATACTATGCAA